AACTGACCTCTGTACAAACTCCACAAGAGACAAAAACTGACCTCTGTACAAACTCCACAAGAGACAAAAACTGACCTCTGTACAAACTCCACAAGAGCCATCACACAAAAACTGACCTCTGTACAAACTCCACAAGAGACAAAAACTGACCTCTGTACAAACTCCACAAGAGACAAAAACTGACCTCTGTACAAACTCAACAAGAGACAAAAACTGACCTCTGTACAAACTCCACAAGAGACAAAAACTGACCTCTGTACAAACTCCACAAGAGACAAAAACTGACCTCTGTACAAACTCCACAAGAGACAAAAACTGACCTCTGTACAAACTCCACAAGAGACAAAAACTGACCTCTGTACAAACTCCACAAGAGACAAAAACTGACCTCTGTACAAACTCCACAAGAGACAAAAACTGACCTCTGTACAAACTCCACAAGAGACAAAAACTGACCTCTGTACAAACTCCACAAGAGACAAAAACTGACCTCTGTACAAACTCCACAAGAGACAAAAACTGACCTCTGTACAAACTCCACAAGAGACAAAAACTGACCTCTGTACAAACTCCACAAGACAAAAACTGACCTCTGTACAAACTCCACAAGAGACAAAAACTGACCTCTGTACAAACTCCACAAGACAAAAACTGACCTCTGTACAAACTCCACAAGAGACAAAAACTGACCTCTGTACAAACTCCACAAGAGACAAAAACTGACCTCTGTACAAACTCCACAAGAGACAAAAACTGACCTCTGTACAAACTCCACAAGAGACAAAAACTGACCTCTGTACAAACTCCACAAGAGACAAAAACTGACCTCTGTACAAACTCCACAAGAGACAAAAACTGACCTCTGTACAAACTCCACAAGAGACAAAAACTGACCTCTGTACAAACTCCACAAGAGACAAAAACTGACCTCTGTACAAACTCCACAAGAGACAAAAACTGACCTCTGTACAAAATCCACAAGACAAAAACTGACCTCTGTACAAACTCCACAAGAGACAAAAACTGACCTCTGTACAAACTCCACCAGAGACAAAAACTGACCTCTGTACAAACTCCACCAGAGACAAAAACTGACCTCTGTACAAACTCCACAAGAGACAAAAACTGACCTCTGTACAAACTCCACAAGAGACAAAAACTGACCTCTGTACAAACTCCACAAGAGACAAAAACTGACCTCTGTACAAACTCCACAAGAGACAAAAACTGACCTCTGTACAAACTCCACAAGAGACAAAAACTGACCTCTGTACAAACTCCACAAGAGACAAAAACTGACCTCTGTACAAACTCCACAAGAGACAAAAACTGACCTCTGTACAAACTCCACAAGAGACAAAAACTGACCTCTGTACAAACTCCACAAGAGACAAAAACTGACCTCTGTACAAACTCCACAAGAGACAAAAACTGACCTCTGTACAAACTCCACAAGAGACAAAAACTGACCTCTGTACAAACTCCACAAGAGACAAAAACTGACCTCTGTACAAACTCCACAAGAGACAAAAACTGACCTCTGTACAAACTCCACAAGAGACAAAAACTGACCTCTGTACAAACTCCACCAGAGACAAAAACTGACCTCTGTACAAACTCCACAAGAGACAAAAACTGACCTCTGTACAAACTCCACAAGAGACAAAAACTGACCTCTGTACAAACTCCACAAGAGACAAAAACTGACCTCTGTACAAACTCCACAAGAGACAAAAACTGACCTCTGTACAAACTCCACAAGAGACAAAAACTGACCTCTGTACAAACTCCACAAGAGACAAAAACTGACCTCTGTACAAACTCCACAAGAGACAAAAACTGACCTCTGTACAAACTCCACAAGAGACAAAAACTGACCTCTGTACAAACTCCACAAGAGACAAAAACTGACCTCTGTACAAACTCCACAAGACAAAAACTGACCTCTGTACAAACTCCACAAGAGACAAAAACTGACCTCTGTACAAACTTCACAAGACAAAAACTGACCTCTGTACAAACTCCACAAGACAAAAACTGACCTCTGTACAAACTCCACAAGAGACAAAAACTGACCTCTGTACAAACTCCACAAGAGACAAAAACTGACCTCTGTACAAACTCCACAAGACAAAAACTGACCTCTGTACAAACTCCACCAGAGACAAAAACTGACCTCTGTACAAACTCCACAAGACAAAAACTGACCTCTGTACAAACTCCACAAGAGACAAAAACTGACCTCTGTACAAACTCCACAAGACAAAAACTGACCTCTGTACAAACTCAACAAGAGACAAAAACTGACCTCTGTACAAACTCCACAAGACAAAAACTGACCTCTGGACAAACTCCACAAGAGACAAAAACTGACCTCTGTACAAACTCCACAAGAGACAAAAACTGACCTCTGTACAAACTCCACAAGAGACAAAAACTGACCTCTGTACAAACTCCACAAGAGACAAAAACTGACCTCTGTACAAACTCCACAAGAGACAAAAACTGACCTCTGTACAAACTCCACAAGAGACAAAAACTGACCTCTGTACAAACTCCACAAGAGACAAAAACTGACCTCTGTACAAACTCCACAAGACAAAAACTGACCTCTGTACAAACTCCACAAGAGACAAAAACTGACCTCTGTACAAACTTCACAAGACAAAAACTGACCTCTGTACAAACTCCACAAGACAAAAACTGACCTCTGTACAAACTCCACAAGAGACAAAAACTGACCTCTGTACAAACTCCACAAGAGACAAAAACTGACCTCTGTACAAACTCCACAAGACAAAAACTGACCTCTGTACAAACTCCACCAGAGACAAAAACTGACCTCTGTACAAACTCCACAAGACAAAAACTGACCTCTGTACAAACTCCACAAGAGACAAAAACTGACCTCTGTACAAACTCCACAAGACAAAAACTGACCTCTGTACAAACTCAACAAGAGACAAAAACTGACCTCTGTACAAACTCCACAAGACAAAAACTGACCTCTGGACAAACTCCACAAGAGACAAAAACTGACCTCTGTACAAACTCCACAAGAGACAAAAACTGACCTCTGTACAAACTCCACAAGAGACAAAAACTGACCTCTGTACAAACTCCACAAGAGACAAAAACTGACCTCTGTACAAACTCCACAAGAGACAAAAACTGACCTCTGTACAAACTCCACAAGAGACAAAAACTGACCTCTGTACAAACTCCACAAGAGACAAAAACTGACCTCTGTACAAACTCCACAAGAGACAAAAACTGACCTCTGTACAAACTCCACAAGAGACAAAAACTGACCTCTGTACAAACTCCACAAGAGACAAAAACTGACCTCTGTACAAACTCCACAAGAGACAAAAACTGACCTCTGTACAAACTCCACCAGAGACAAAAACTGACCTCTGTACAAACTCCACAAGACAAAAACTGACCTCTGTACAAACTCCACAAGAGACAAAAACTGACCTCTGTACAAACTCCACAAGACAAAAACTGACCTCTGTACAAACTCAACAAGAGACAAAAACTGACCTCTGTACAAACTCCACAAGACAAAAACTGACCTCTGGACAAACTCCACAAGAGACAAAAACTGACCTCTGTACAAACTCCACAAGAGACAAAAACTGACCTCTGTACAAACTCCACAAGAGACAAAAACTGACCTCTGTACAAACTCCACAAGAGACAAAAACTGACCTCTGTACAAACTCCACAAGAGACAAAAACTGACCTCTGTACAAACTCCACAAGAGACAAAAACTGACCTCTGTACAAACTCCACAAGAGACAAAAACTGACCTCTGTACAAACTCCACAAGAGACAAAAACTGACCTCTGTACAAACTCCACAAGAGACAAAAACTGACCTCTGTACAAACTCCACAAGAGACAAAAACTGACCTCTGTACAAACTCCACAAGAGACAAAAACTGACCTCTGTACAAACTCCACCAGAGACAAAAACTGACCTCTGTACAAACTCCACAAGAGACAAAAACTGACCTCTGTACAAACTCCACAAGAGACAAAAACTGACCTCTGTACAAACTCCACAAGAGACAAAAACTGACCTCTGTACAAACTCCACAAGAGACAAAAACTGACCTCTGTACAAACTCCACAAGAGACAAAAACTGACCTCTGTACAAACTCCACAAGAGACAAAAACTGACCTCTGTACAAACTCCACAAGAGACAAAAACTGACCTCTGTACAAACTCCACAAGAGACAAAAACTGACCTCTGTACAAACTCCACCAGAGACAAAAACTGACCTCTGTACAAACTCCACAAGACAAAAACTGACCTCTGTACAAACTCCACAAGAGACAAAAACTGACCTCTGTACAAACTCCACAAGACAAAAACTGACCTCTGTACAAACTCAACAAGAGACAAAAACTGACCTCTGTACAAACTCCACAAGACAAAAACTGACCTCTGGACAAACTCCACAAGAGACAAAAACTGACCTCTGTACAAACTCCACAAGAGACAAAAACTGACCTCTGTACAAACTCCACAAGAGACAAAAACTGACCTCTGTACAAACTCCACAAGAGACAAAAACTGACCTCTGTACAAACTCCACAAGAGACAAAAACTGACCTCTGTACAAACTCCACAAGAGACAAAAACTGACCTCTGTACAAACTCCACCAGAGACAAAAACTGACCTCTGTACAAACTCCACAAGAGACAAAAACTGACCTCTGTACAAACTCCACCAGAGACAAAAACTGACCTCTGTACAAACTCCACAAGAGACAAAAACTGACCTCTGTACAAACTCCACCAGAGACAAAAACTGACCTCTGTACAAACTCCACAAGAGACAAAAACTGACCTCTGTACAAACTCCACAAGACACAAAAACTGACCTCTGTACAAACTCCACAAGAGACAAAAACTGACCTCTGTACAAACTCCACAAGAGACAAAAACTGACCTCTGTACAAACTCCACAAGACACAAAAACTGACCTCTGTACAAACTCCACAAGAGCCATGACACAACGCTGGCTGTCCTGACTCTGGTCATCCAAACAAACGGCCACCTTGTTGACCTGGTCCAGTTCCTGCTCAAGTCTCTGTTAGAGGGTAATTAAAATATACTAATTAGTGGCACCTGGTTAATTAAAATATGCTCAGGGTAATTAAAATATACTAATTAGTGGCACCTGGTTAGTTAAAATATACTCAGGTTAATTAAAATATACTCAGGTTAAATAAAATATACTCAGGTTAATCAAAATATACTCAGGTTTATTTAAAATATACTCAGGTTAATTAAAATATGCTAATTAGTGGCACACACAAAACAAGTACAATTTATCTTAATAACTTCATGTGCTAAACTTTCAAACCATACACAAACCAACCCATGTGGCAACATTTCAACAGACCTCTTTATTGTTCAACTCCATTTGTAGTTGGGCAGATTTTTCTGTTAGAGAAAGCTTTAACATTTCCACTTGAGATTGGCTGGCATCAAGCTGCTGGGCTAAACTCATCAACTAAATGGGAGGTGTTACAATGTTAAATTCATCAACTAAATGGGAGGTGTTACAATGTTAGATTCATCAACTAATAGAAATGTTTCAAGCAAGATTCATGAACTACTAGGGAAATGTTACAATGTTAGATCCATCAGCTAAATAGGAAATATATCTAGCTAAAACAAATACTCATTTCTTCATTCTTACCCTTAAAAAATGTTCCATTAATATTATCTAAAATACAAACAAAGCCTTTTTTTAAACATCCAAATGAGAACTAAAATACATTAAAATACAAAAAACCTACCTTGAGATTGGTGTTGTTGCAATCATTTCTGTGAACCAACTCTGATGATTTCTGCTGGACCAGAAGTGCAAATACTTTCTCACGCCATCTAGATAAACAAATAACTGGTAGTATACTGATAGAGGAGAGATAAGTTCCATCAAATACCTACTACACAAGTAATTATCAGACTAGCTATAAATGTGATAGGCTACACATCACAATTCCTCAGATTACACATGATGTGCTCTAGGCACCAAGCAAGGAAGCATTGAGAACCTCAGTACTATAACAAATGATGTGTTAGAGTCACCTAACACAGAAACATTGAGGCCCTCAGTACTATAACAAATGATGTGTTAGAGTCACCTAACACAGAAGCATTGAGAACCTCAGTACTATAACAAATGATGTGTTAGAGTCACCTAACACAGAAACATTGAGGCCCTCAGTACTATAACAAATGATGTGTTAGAGTCACCTAACACAGAAACATTGAGGCCCTCAGTACTATAACAAATGATGTGTTAGAGTCACCTAACACAGAAACATTGAGGCCCTCAGTACTATAACAAATGATGTGTTAGAGTCACCTAACACAGAAGCATTGAGGCCCTCAGTACTATAACAAATGATGTGTTAGAGTCACCTAACACAGAAACATTGAGGCCCTCAGTACTATAACAAATGATGTGTTAGAGTCACCTAACACAGAAGCATTGAGGCCCTCAGTACTATAACAAATGATGTGTTAGAGTCACCTAACACAGAAACATTGAGGCCCTCAGTACTATAACAAATGATGTGTTAGAGTCACCTAACACAGAAACATTGAGAATCTCAGTACTATAACAAATGATGTGTTAGAGTCACCTAACACAGAAACATTGAGGCCCTCAGTACTATAACAAATGATGTGTTAGAGTCACCTAACACAGAAACATTGAGAATCTCAGTACTATAACAAATGATGTGCTAGCAACACAGAAGTGTTGAGGCCCTCAGTACTATAACAAATGATGTGCTAGTGGCAACTCACCTAGTGACCAGAAGGCTGTGTTGCTTTTTCTGACCATGACCTTCATCTTTTGCCTAAACACACAGAATCATTTGTAAGAATGAAGTGGAAATTTACCTCAAGAAAAAATGTACATTGTTTCTACTTGGTTTATTTTAACACTAGTATTAAAATGTTGAGTTGTAAAACTAAAACAGAACACTTTCCCATCATACTTTGCTTAATTCTGTTTCCTGTATAGCCAGAATGTGACTCAATGCTTTAAACCTGACATCCAATAACTGCAGCTCAGACTGAAGTTTTTCTTTCTCTGCCAGAGCCAGTTTCAACTTGTTGTCTACAGTTTCCTTCTCCACCCTCCACAGCTGGGCTGGCTTGTGGGTTTGTTCCGTCTCACCGATGTAAGTTTTTAGTTTACCTATCTGGTGAGCTTGATCCTTGATTGTTCGACTTTTATTTCTAGAGGAAAGTACAAATACATGCATGTTAGAAATGGCTGCATGTTAGAAATGGCTGGATGTTGCAAATAGCTCATTCTTGTTGCTGCAAGGATTATTAAACAACAGGTGTAAAAATAAAACAAATTTTCACAGAGGCTTAAATGTACAGTGTTGGTTTTTCTTGAGATTAAGTGCCAGTTGTGGTATAAGAGTAGCTATGTGTGGTCAAGTTACGCGAGCAGCACACTAATATAATAAAGCTTTAAAACTACATCAAAATTTGAGTGTGGCATTATAAATTAGTTTTTACTCGAGATAAAAATTGGTGTTGTCCCAACAATACCCATTCTACAATTTCTACCTTAGATTAAGCTCCATATTTCTTACCCAATGCTAAGCTCCAGATTATCCTACCTGAGGTCAAACTCCAGCTGAGCCACAGTTTTATCCCTCTCCTTCTGCACGCTGGTCAGCGTCTCCTCAAGTTCCATTATTCTAGCACTCAGTGAGGCTCTAGTGCTCTCTAAAGTTTTGTTCACTTGTAAAAGCTCCCTGCTTGTGTCTTCTTGAGTTCTTTGCAGCTCACTACTTAATCTGGAAAGCTTGGGGAAAAAACAACAGACAACAGCATAAAATTACCAGAGATATTTAAATCACGGAATTAAACTTAAAGATAAACCACAGAAACTATAAACTACATTTATTTAGGCTGAAGTGTTGTGCCATCTGAGAGACGAACTAAAAATGTAAACAAACCAACATACTGTCTGGTCCAGTTCATCTTCCTTCTTCTCCAGTTGTTTCTCTAACATCTTCACCTCCTTCTGATGGTCATTAGCCATCATGTCCATCTTTTGTTCCAGGTCACTAACTTCTTGGTTGTAAGCATGGCCCAGCTTCATTAGCTCTGCCCTCAAGTCTGTTATCTCCCCTGCTTGCCTCTTGATCAGTTCATCAGCATATTCATTGTGAGGTAGGGCTATGGGCAGAGCCTGAATCTTAACAAAAAATTGGAAAATAAGTTATCACTGAACATTTAATAAATAAATAATTGATAGATTTAATTTAACCGGGACTAATAAGAATTTAAAAACAAATTACCATAAAGTTTTTTTTTAAATTGTGAGAAAACTTACTTGGTTCGAATGAGGCACAGCATCTTGTAATAATCTACAGAAAAGAAAATAGTACTCAGAAGCTGATTCCAAATCAAAATAAAACTATAGATTTAAAATATTTTAAGCTTTCTTTTGTTTTTTAATATATGAATCTTGATGATCTCAGCAATGTTACGAGCAAGACATCTTTAGATCCTAGTCTTTTCAACCCTAACCTCTTGCACCTGAGCTGCACTTACTTTATCTTTTTGTTTTCTTGCTCAAGTTGTTTGATTTGTTTCTTCATTACCTCCAGCTCTGTATGGGATACCAAAGGTTTTTCAAACTCTGATGGTGGAAGAAGAACATTCCCTTGTACTGATAAGATTAAAAAAATGATTAATGACATTCGTGTAGTGCTTGAGAAGAAAAATAGTCATAACTAATAAAAGAAAAAATAAATTAAAATACATGTATAGTAATTAAAAAATTTCAAAGTTAATTAACTAAAAACTATATAGGCCTATATAACATTGGAGAATGGTAGATTGTGGTGCTGTTTAGTTGACATGAAATTTAGGCACTGATGTTTTGGTTGTCATAAGCTCTGCTTGTGTTGCAATTCTTCTATGCAGTATTGGTGGTTTGTTCTACATCTAGGAAGATTTCACTAGCTTGACGGATCAATACGTTTTATTTTCCAAACAGAATTTAAGTAACTCAGCACAAATATGTCACGTTTCCAACAACACAACTTATCCGCTACAGGTCCTAACTAAAAGAGGAACTATCATTACTATTTATAGTCCCTGCCCTCTAGCACTAGCATCAAGTCTTCACTCAATTCATTCTCAGTATGGTATTGTGATGCTCAATGCTCTGTCCTACTTTAGTCTCAAAGCGCCAAATTCAACGACAGAATATTACCCGAGAAACAGACAGACACACATATGTCTTCTTCATGAGTTTCAGCAGACAGGACTTTTCTGCCACTTTGGCGGGCCAGTGGCACACTGCACAGTCAACGCAATTTAAATTAATTTATAATTTGTTTAAAACATTGACACACGACGGAGCGTCATTACAAAGTTTTCGTGGCACTCTGCTATTGTGAATAATTTCAGCAAAAAGCAATTGAATTTAAAATTTACTGGTACGTACAATTATTCAAATTTAGGCGAGTGATCATAAAATCGTCAGGTTTATTCATATTTGCTGCCATTTTGTGTCCAAGCTAAACAACTCGTATGTCGTAAAGCGATCAAAAAGTGGCGGGGGGGGGTCGAATAAAAAAAAATATGACATATTGTGTTCTTGAATCTATTAGTAGATCTAGATCTACTAATAGATTCAAGAACATTAGGTTCATTATGTTTCGGTAAAAACGATTAAACGTAAACGGTAAAAGTGATTAAATAAAAGTAAAGTCTAATTTTGATCGCGACAACTGTTGTAAAAAAATAAATAAATATAGAATTGTTTCCGGTAAACATTTGTTGATGTACTTTTTGGACGTAGACAAGCAAAAAGAAGAGATCTTGAATCTTGATTTAGAGCATTTGAAACATGTTATCTGGAACTTTAAAACTTGGTGCTTCATTTCCTATAATATGCGTGATAGTAGCTTATCTTTATAAACGTCATTCAGAAGAGGCTGTTTTGCAAGAGAGGTTAAGAAATGTTTTAGTCGGTCTTCTACAAGCGGAAAAAAAAGCAGTCGTTGAACCCAAGAAAGTTGCTGTTGGATTTGGTGGCTGCGAAGATATTATTACAGATGGTTTAGAATTATTGAAACTTTTGAACTTTTCAGCCCCTGAAGTAGCTATTCACCAAGATTCTGTTCACAATGAGTTTGAATTAATGCAACTGTTTGCTTACTTTTTCCAGCATGGAGCAGCTGCAGAGTAAGTTGAAGATGTGAAGACTAAAGGAACTTCAATAATGATTTTAAATAGTAGTTTTTCTTACTATATGTGAAATCTACTCAATTCTCAATTTAAACATGACAACTGAATAAAAAACGTCCATACTTTATCCTCTAGGCACTAATTTGGGGGTTGTAGCGAGTTTAGGCTAAATTATTGAATTTTAAAATGTTTTGTCACTCACAGCTATGATATGACGGATCATCCATGACAACCTGGTTAAAAGTTGAAAGGTTTAACTTTTTAAGTGACCGTGAAATAGATCTAATTTTTTTTCACAAGAGAGTTCCTAAAAGTAGAATTAGCCCGTCTATCGTCGGGATATATTTATAGAGGAAAAAAATTTAAGAGAATGTCATCAGAAAAGAATTTAAAAAAAGACAAGACAGAAGTGATGTTTGAATTCTTTTATTTCTTTAATTTTATAACATTTTTTATTGTACAAAAGAGCAAAATAAAAAACCATGCCAGGTAAACGTATCCATTCAAATAGCGGTCACGTGGTCAAAAAAAATAAAAAAATGTGGTTGTCATTTTTTGGACACATCATATAAAAAAAAAGTGTTGAAGATATTTGATTTATTTTTTCATAGAATGATAAAACTAATAATGCTTTAGTATGGAAATCAATTTTGTAATATGGAAATCGATATTTAAAAAGTTCTAGTATTTTTGATGAAACCAACTTTTAAATTTAGCCTTCATTCTCCAACGCAAATTTTAAAATGCTTTTCTGGCATATATAGCCCTGCCACCTATAGCTTGTTGTTATAACGTGAAAGTCCCGCCATTTTGCGCGTGGTAAACATTTTAAAAACTAATTAGTAGAAGGTCTCTGGAATTTGGCCGAAAAATCGTCGGAAGTCAAGCGTCCGGTCCGGGCGCCATATTGTTGTTAGCAACCGGCCACGCCTCCGGGTTAGCGAGAAATACTATTAAATAGGCCTAGAGCTTAATACAACAGTTTAAGAACAGGCCTTTAATTAAGCTATTTAGATCTGTTTGTCTATTTACTTTAGCCGTAGCTAAAATGGTGACTTTCCTCAAGTGCACTTGAAAAGTCCTGAGGCTGCAAGAAGCTTGTGTGAACAAAAAGCCTGCAAAAAGGCCTAATTCTATTACTTTTTGTTATGAAATAAAATTTTGCAACTACTTAAAATAGCTGATGTTTAGACTCACATTCCAGAAACCCTAGAAAATCAAAATCTCAATGTGCTGGTACATTTTTACATTGAGTTAAATGTAACTACAAAATAAAACAATCTCTGGCTAATTTTAATAAGTTAAATAAGTCACACATAAATAGTTTGTGGTCACACATGAATGATTCTATACTACAACCAGAATATTTTTAAAGTATTTGTTTTGTGCCTTTTTCATTAGCAAAATTAATTAATTAGAGTGTTAATATGATAATTTTGTTATATTTAAATTCAAATTTTAATTAGTTTTATCAAATTTATGTTTTAGATTTATTGTAAACTCCCTGTTTAATATTTATGTAAATGTTTCAGACGATATGTTGCAAATGACAGTTTGTTTGATGTCCTTGTTGATGGTGCATCCAAGCTCCCTAGACACAGATGGTCACTTGGGGGTAATGCACCAGCAATGGCTCGCAGATTTGCAATGGAAGGTTTGAGTGTTGTCCTTGGGGCTAAAGTTTCTGCTTCTGTTATAGAGGCTCTTCCAAAATCTGTTAAAGGTAAGTAACATTCATCAGTGGTTGTATTGAAATAGTAGGCCTAAATATTTGAATTTTTATAATTTTAATTATATATATTCATACAGATGTCTCCTTTGTTTCTGTAACACTCACTGGCATTGACAAATTCCATTTTAAAATCATGTTTAGTTATAGGGAGCATTGTTAAAAAATCTGACATTCATCTGATAATGGAATACAACACAAATGACAAATTCTATTTTAAAATCATGTCTAGTTATAGGGAGCATTGTTAAAAAATCTGACATTCATCTGATAATGGAATACAACACAAATGACAAATTCTATTTTAAAATCATGTTTAGTTATAGGGAGCATTGTTAAAAAATCTGACATTCATCTGATTATGGAATACAACACAAATGACAAATGGGGAAACTACACTTCACCAAGAGCTAATAGGTGAGTTGAGACATTAATATGTACCATAAGTCTTCAATTTAATAAAAAAAACGTCACTACTATTAGTTTATATTAGCTATGCTACTAAAACATGCTGTCATTTATTGGCACATAAATCACAAGAAATATAAAAGCATATTTTCATCTGTAAAATCTACAGGTTGATAGTGCACAGTGATAATATCAATCCATTCATTGATGGCATGGAGGAATTTATTGAAGAAGTTGCTGCCTTTGATCCAGCACTTGTTGTAATTGGAGGGCTTCAGATGATGGATAATTTCCCTTATGATAACCCAGGTAGTGCAGTTAGAGACTTAACTAGTTCAATAGACATAATCACAATCAATATTTTAAAATTACGTGCAGTTAGAGACTTAACTAGTTCAATAGACATCATCACAATCAATATTTTAAAAATACGTGCAGTTAGAGACTTAACGAGTTCAATAGACATCACAATCAATATTTTAAAAATACGTGCAGTTTGAGACTTAACGAGTTCAATAGACATAATCACAATCAATATTTTAAAAATACGTGCAGTTTGAGACTTAACTAGTTCAATAGACATAGTCACAATCAATATTTTAAAATTACGTGCAGTTAGAGACTTAACTAGTTCAAAAGACATCATCACAATCAATATTTTAAAAATACGTGCAGTTAGAGACTTAAGGAGTTCAATAGACATCATCACAATCAATATTTTAAAAAATATGTGCAGTTAGAGACTTAACTAGTTCAATAGACATCATCACAATCAATATTTAAAAAATACGTGCAGTTAGAGACTTAACTAGTTCAATAGACATCATCACAATCAATATTTTAAAAATATGTGCAGTTAGAGACTTAACTAGTTCAATAGACATCATCACAATCAATATTTTAAAAATATGTGCAGTTAGATACTTAACTAGTTCAATAGACATGATCACAATCATTTCAATAATTTTATAAATACGTGCAGTTAGAGACTTAACTAGTTCAATATACATCATCACAATCAATATTTTAAAAATACGTGCAATTAGAGACTTAACTAGTTCAATAGACATCATCGTTTTCAATATTTTAAAAAACATGTTTAATATGTTTAGAAATACGACAAATTCGTTTGGCGAAGTTGAAAAGTTTCCTAAGTGAAGTCCCCAAATCTACACTCATACACTTTGAAATGGCATCCTTTACTGACCACGCTCTGCTCAATGAAATCAAAGAAAATATCTTGTGGTACTCAGATTCTATTGGCGCCAATGAGCAGGTTAGTCCTCTAATTACAATTAAAGCTTGTATTGTTGTAAAAAAGGGAGGTTTAATTTGTTTGCTGGCCTGATCTGAGATTTTAATCTGAAGTCTCAGGTAACAGCAGGTAACAATATGTATTGAAATAATGTTTGCAATTATTTTTCCCAGATGTTTTGAAACTGGCATTGAGAGGTAAAAATGTTTAATCTGGTTAATGCACTGTATGATACGTTTGACTGTAGTTGCTAGTGAACTCTTTTAATCTGGGATTATAATGTAGTATAATCCTTAGCAAGTAGAATAACACAACTTTCTTAATGTGAATTAATAATATTTGTAGTCTACTAATGCTTTTAGTTAAGTTAGTATAAATGCTTAATGTTTTTCTCCAATGAAAAATGTTTTTTAACTGCAGTTGGCTGATTTTAATTAGACTACAACCAATTTATTTTTCCTTTTTTTAAAAAATCGATTTAATTATATGGAAGACAAGGATAATATATGAAAAATGTCCACTCTTCAAGATAAAATATTTAGGGATTTAAAATTTAATGGCATTAAAAGACTCTTAGCTATAATTACTATTTAAATGCTTATGTTCTCTTATAGGACATTTTATAAGTTTAAATAATAACTCAAATTTTCTAGTGGTTTTTTTTTCATTCTGCACATCATTCATTATTAAAAATCTTGACATGAAACACTTGTCTCAGTTGAATTGTGCTCTTCTGTTTTAAAATTTATTACTTACAGTACAAACATATTTATAACCTCAATTTTACAATATAAATTTTAGGAAGAGGTTACAATTTTGGTCAATTCTCTGAAAGCTTGAAATAGTTTTGAGACATATTTGCTGTGTGTCCTGTGTTGGTATATTTGCCCAGAGATGTAACTTTACTGATTTTTTTTTTTAGGGAATTTTTTTTTCATTAGAGGAAATAATTCATTAAAAGTTTGACGGTGATATAAATAAGTACATTTACATTTTTATTTGCGGTGATATTTTTATTGAAATTAGTACATTTTATCTTGAAAAATTTGAAATATTTTTGATTTATTGTCTGAACAAATCTTTATACCTTTTCCCCCCATGGAACATTTTTTTTTTAAACGAAGACATCTCTTGGCTAATTAAAAACTTGAGTTCTGATTTGGTGTTAGGGTCTGTATGTTTCTTACTCAACTTACTGACATGCTGTATGTTTTGGTATGTGGATCCTTATGCTACTTATATGTTTGTGTCATGGTTTGGTATATGTATATATGATTGATATTGATAGACTTGTATTGTGTCTGTAGTGTAATGTGTACGTGTATGTCACCTGTGCTACAGTCTGTGCACTGTTTCAGGAGCTGCCCAATTTGATAGACTTGTATTACATCTGTAGTGTGTACGTGTATGTCGCCTGTGCTACAGTCTATGCACTGTTTCAGGAGCTGCCCAATTTGATAGACTTGTATTATGTCTGTAGTGTGTACGTGTATGTCGCCTGTGCTACAGTCTATGCACTGTTTCAGGAGCTGCCCAATTTGATAGACTTGTATTATGTCTGTAGTGTGTACGTGTATGTCGCCTGTGCTACAGTCTATGCACTGTTTCAGGAGCTGCCCAATTTGATAGACTTGTATTATGTCTGTAGTGTGTACGTGTATGTCGCCTGTGCTACTGTCTATGCACTGTTTCAGGAGCTGCCCAATTTGATAGACTTGTATTATGTCTGTAGTGTGTACGTGTATGTCGCCTGTGCTACAGTGTGTGCACTGTTTCAGGAGCTGCCCAATTTGATAGACTTGTATTATGTCTGTAGTGTGTACGTGTATGTCGCCTGTGCTACAGTCTATGCACTGTTTCAGGAGCTGCCCAATTTGATAGACTTGTATTATGTCTGTAGTGTGTACGTGTATGTCGCCTGTGCTACAGTGTGTGCACTGTTTCAGGAGCTGCCCAATCTGATCAGTTTGTTCAAAGGTGAGCCGGTCAGTCTGGTCTCTGACAGCTACCCCAGGGTGGCCACAGTGCTGGACCAGATGAGAACACTTTATCACCTGCTGATGGACACCACCGTCCAGGTACAACTTTTGGCATTACATCACACTTCACATGTTATACATGTTTTTGTCATTGGTGGATAGAATTACAGTTCACATGTTAAACATGTTTTTGTCTTGGTAGTATGGTGGTAAAATATTCTTTTAAAAATATTTTTTAACATTACAGGAAGGTGGTAAAAAGTTTTATTATATTGCAGGAAGGTGGTAAAAGAAGACTTTCCCGTATCCACATCCACACTTTAGCATTCCAAGCCATCCTGACAAGGAAAGATTCTAAGTGGAAGAACAGCATGTCAGCGGCAGCTAAGGCGGCCTTAACCGCACACCGCTACACGTGTGGCTCGCAGGATATTGACACGGGCAAGGCCAGGCTCATCATGGACGACTCCTTCTCCCTGAGCAAGTCCACAGACTCCCAGAGAATCGTGGTCAACAGCACCAGTCCTGTGTCCTGCTGGGAGGAGGACGGTTGTGAGTTCTGTGTGGCGCCCGTCCTTGTTTGTACACACATTTTACAGACCTGTGGTGGGGGGGATAACATCTCAAGTGCCGGCCTGGTCCTGCAGATTTAAGAGGTGACATTGTGGTGGGGGGGATAACATCTCAAGCGCCGGCCTGGTCCTGCAGATTTAAGAGGTGACATTGTGGTGGGGGGGATAACATCTCAAGTGCCGGTCTGGTCCTGCAGATTTAAGAGGTGACATTGTGGTGGGGGGGATAACATCTCAAGTGCCGGTCTGGTCCTGCAGATTTAAGAGGTGACATTGTGGTGGGGGGGGGGGGGGATAACATCTCAAGTGCCGGTCTGGTCCTGCAGATTTAAGAGGTGACATTGTGGTGGGGGGGGATAACATCTCAAGTGCCGGTCTGGTCCTGCAGATTTAAGAGGTGACATTGTGGTGGGGGGGGGAATAACATCTCAAGTGCCGGTCTGGTCCTGCAGATTTAAGAGGTGACATTGTGGTGGGGGGGGGGATAACATCTCAAGTGCCGGTCTGGTCCTGTAGATTTAAGAGGTGACATTGTGGTGGGGTGGGGGGGGGGGGGGGGTAACATCTCAAGCGCCGGCCTGGTCCTGCAGATTTAAGAGGTGACATTTCATTCACCTCCAAGTTAAGACACTTTGTTTTGCTGGCTTGGTTCTACAAATGTTTTAAATATGAACAAAAGACTTACTAATTGATGCCAATTTAAGAATTGTTTTTACATTCAATTTTTTCAATTTATTTGAACAAATTTTACTTTGTTGTTCATCAGCATACCATTTTTATTTGGCAAAATGTCAGATATTTTTATTTATACCAAAGATCACATCAGCTCATGCAGATCTGCTCATATTTTGTTTACAAAATAGCATGGCCTGATGTATCAAATTTTCTTGTTTTATTTCATGCAGTCTAATTGATGTTTGCCACTGATTACAGCTCAACTTGTTTAGCCCTCTTGCCTTACACCCAAAGTTTTATTTTATTTGCTTACTCATATGGTGACATTACTCATATGGTGACATTACTCATATGGTGACATTACTCATATGGTGACATTACTCATATGGTGACATTACTCATATGGTGACATTACTCATATGGTGATATTACTCATATGGTGACATTGCAGACATGGTGTCATGACACATTAAGTCAAGCAAATAATGGATTGCTCTGTTTGCCATTTGCGTTCTGCTTTGTGTGTTCATGAACATCACAGCAGTGAGGAGGGGAGGGGGGGAAAGGGCATTGCACCAAGTGACCCGCTGTTTGTATTCCAATATCCTACCTACTCTCATCCTAGGAGAGTTGTGGTGATGTCAGGTTGTTATGGCAGGCCTTGAATAATTTAATCTTACTGAACATCAGTTTTATGTGTTGAGTATCAGAATAAAACTTCTAAAACCAGTTAAAACAGTATTTTGGTATTTGGTTTTTCTTGTATGTTTTTGTTGACTGAATACAACAGAAGTGTGTTTTCACTCCCTCCTTCCTGAGATATTTGTTTTCACTCCCTCCTCCCTATCTGAGGTATTTGTGTTTTTTTAAACTCCCTCCTGAGGCATTTACTGGATCCCAAACTAGTGCTCATCTGACCATTTAATGCACTTGAATCCCATCTTTGGATTTTAAGTCATAATGACGATTAAGAAACCTTAAAATGATGGCAGAAGTTTTCACTTTATTAACTTAATGCCATTGATGTCAATGTCATGAGACACTGACAGAGAATAGAAAAGAGACAGTGAAAAAAAAGAACTCTTTTTAAAAAGGACGTATAAACATTTAATAAGCTTTTATAAATATAAGTTAAAAAAATAAATGCTTTATTCATGAAGGAAAACATTAGATAAGAAATATTTGCACAAAACATGGAGTAGAGAGCTTTGTGACTTTGATAAATAAAGACTAGTTTCAGCTTGTGAGTCTGTGAACATGTGGCCCAGAACATGCCTTCTTGAGACGGGGGCGCATCAAATCAAACATGCACAACATTTAGATAGGGCTTGAATCTTCTAGGAAGGCACAAGTCAAACATGTACAACATCATTTAGATAAAATATGAATCTTCTTGAGACGGGGGCACATCAAGTCAAACATGTACAACATTAATTAGAGATGGGAAATTTAACACATTGGCTAATGATATATTAAAAACTAAACGATTTGAAACATCAAATTTCAAAATGTAAAAGATGAAGCCTTTAAAAACACAAACAATTGAGTTCTTCTGTGTTGAGCGATGAATCTATTTTTTTAGAAACCAGCGATACATTATAAATTTTTAAAAAATTTCATTTGTCATTCATTCTATACATTATTATACAATATTATGTATGGCTTCAATGGTTTACATGACCGTACAGCGCCATCGTTTCGAGGACGATTGTTTTTTCTGCTGATTTTTTGAGGCGTTGGTCACTTCAGCTAGCTTGACCTGTTCAACGGCGGCAAGTTCCTCTACAGGTTCTTCTACCGTCTCTGGGCTGACGTCACTGGTTGGCAGGACACGGGGCTTGATCAACATTCGCACCGTCGGGATCTCTTTAGTGACTGCAACATCTGAAACCAATTGTAACGTTAGCATGTTTAGGGTTTGATCAACATTCGCACCGTCGGGATCTCTTTAGTTACTGCAACATCTGAAACCAATTGTAACATCATGTTTAGGGTTTGATCAACATTCGCACCGTCGGGATCTCTTTAGTTACTGCAACATCTGAAACCAATTGTAACATCATGTTTAGGGTTTGATCAACATTCGCACCGTCGGAATCTCTTTAGTGACTGCAACATCTGAAACCAATTGTAACGTTTTTGGGGTGAACAAATTAATTGGGAAAAAAATCTATTTTTTGTTTTGGATGATTTTTGTATTTTTCTTATATGCCCGACTCAAACAGCATGATTGTGTAGAAAAAAAGTTCAATAAATAAAGCTAAAAATAAGAAATCAGAAAGGGTTGTAATGTATTTACACTCAATCTTTGCTTTCTGCTGTACGACTGTAGATTGGGTCTATAATGAAAGCCTTTCATGACCCGACAACCATCTCAACAGGACGTAGTCTTGAGTAGATCCCCCCCCCCCCACCCTCAGTATCATAATCTACTCGTGTTTCAGCAAGGCTTTTGATTCCATCCTTGTCGCACATTATGTGGACATGGGGGGGGGGGGGGGTGAAGAATCGGGTGAGAGAACAGTCTCTAGTCTAGCACCAAGCTTAAATCTAAGTGAGCACCGCTATACCACCGTGATGAAGCATACCTCATATTTTTTCGACTTAAACAAAGACGCCCCCACCCCTTGTGCAAGCGGGGGTAAACTATACCTTCATCCTCATGGCAGAAGACCTCAAAGACCTCTGGGGTGGCAGCGTTGACCAGCTCACATCGCCTGGAGGCGGCGGCATCCTTGGGGTGCTCCAGTAGCGGAGACTGAGTCCGTTTTAAAGAGTTTCTTTTCGTTCTTCTGTCTTTCGATGTTTTCCTGCTCTTGGCCTCCTCCTCCCAGGGCTGGTCGAGGGGATCCTTCATGCGGATGTAGTTCTTGCTGCTGACCGACTGGTTCATGATGGGAGGTAGTGGCGAGCCCTGGGACAACAAGATACTTACACTCAAACCATGGATTACACTCAAACCATGGATTTGTTGAATGTTAAGTCTTACTACAATTTTCCAACAACTGAAGTCAAATTCATTCATATACAGCCATAGGCATTTCAGACGTGTAATTAGTTTAAGTGAAACATTTTTTTTTCTAAAATTAGGTTAAGTTCAAAGTTTAGTTTCCTTGCAAAAATTAACACACACACGTTATAACATTTGAAATCTTTCAAAGGAAGTATTTTCACCATATCCCCACACAGACCACCACCCCTTCGTTGATTGGTTAAATACAACCGTGACAACATTACCATCATTTCAGCGCTGTGACGCAACACCCGGAGTCGTCTAAATCTTCGCCACTGGTTCCGCTTGACTGGCGCCGTTTTATGCTTCAGTGGTTTGGGCGGCGATGTTGATTTGTGCCATGTGTTGTTGTGATCTGTGGAGAAAGGTCATTTTGATTTGTTAAAGATTTTGTTGTGATCTGTGGAGAGAGGTCATTTTGATTTGTGCCATGTGTTGTTGTCATCTGTGGAGAGAGGTCATTTTGATTTGTGCCATGTGTTGTTGTCATCTGTGGAGAGAGGTCATTTTGATTTGTGCCATGTGTTGTTGTGATCTGTGGAGAGAGGTCATTTTGATTTGTGCCATGTGTTGTTGTGATCTGTGGAGAGAGGTCATTTTGATTTGTGCCATGTGTTGTTGTCATCTGTGGAGAGAGGTCATTTTGATTTGTGCCATGTGTTGTTGTCATCTGTGGAGAGAGGTCATTTTGATTTGTGCCATGTGTTGTTGTGATCTGTGGAGAGAGGTCATTTTGATTTGTGCCATGTGTTGTTGTGATCTGTGGAGAGAGGCCATTTTGATTTGTGCCAGATTTTGATTGACTTTGCTCTACAATCTGTTGTTTCAATATATCGGGGGTGTTTTGTTATACGTTTAGAGTGTAAACCCTAGTGTTCTCGATTGGCTAAAAGACTAAAGCATGGAAATCAAATATAGCAAACGGTGTACCTGTACATATATTAGACCCCGCCCCCAGCCCAGCATACCTGTACATATATTAGACACCGCCCAGCTTACCTGTACATATATTAGACCCCGCCCCCAGCCCAGCGTACCTGTACATATATTAGACCCCGCCCCCAGCCCAGCGTACCTGTACATATATTAGACCCCGCCCCCAGCCCAGCGTACCTGTACATATATTAGACCCCGCCCCCAGCCCAGCGTACCTGTACATATATTAGACCCCGCCCCCAGCCCAGCGTACCTGTACATATATTACCCCGCCCCCAGCCCAGCGTACCTGTACATATATTAGACCCCGATCCCAGCCCAGCGTACCTGTACATATATTAGACCCCGCCCCCAGCCCAGCGTATCTGTACGTAGACTACCCCCCCCCCGCCTAGCGTAGCTGTACATATATTAGACCCCGCCCACCTGTACATATATTAGACCCCGCCCCAAGCCCAGCGTACCTGTACATATATTAGACCCCGCCCCCAGCCCAGCGTACCTGTACATATATTAGACCCCGCCCCCAGCCCGGCGCTGAACTGGTTGACCACAAGATGGCTGCTTGTTGTCTGCACGTGCTTGCTATGTCCTTTCTGCAGCATGGAGTCGGAGGCCGTAGCTGGCCGAAACGACGGACCATCCACCACAACTGACGTCTGGGAATTCAAATCTTGCTTGTATTTTTTCACAAAGCGGAATCTCCCGTCTCGACGTGCAGGTTTTGGGCCTTTTAAAATCTGAAATAAAGGTATTTTAGAATAAGTTTTAGCATTTTTGAAACACAGTGGGAAATAATTTCACCTTGGTGTGTGTTGTTTGTGTTTTACGGTGTATTAATAATTGACAGATGTAAATTGGCAGCCAAATGTATAAAGAGGAATATCGCTAATCATGACCTGTGAATAAAATACATGTCACACTTGAGATAATTTGAAAACGTGTCGACTAGACATAAGAGAGTAAACAAACAACTGACCGACTTGAGCCTTTTCCACAGAGTTCCTTTCTTCTCATAGCGGGGTTCCACTGGCTTCTTCCCACTGGCTGGCTTGGTTCTTGACATCTTCAATTTATTGGCAGCAGCAGCCGCAGCCGTGATACTTGCAGCTTCCTCTAGAACAACCAAACCAACACATTGGTGTTAGTGTGGGTGTCAACATGTAATATCAACACATTGTTGTTAAAGAGTGCCAACAAGTAAAGTGACACGACATTTAAAGGAACGTTAGCGTAAGCTTGTTGTACCACGTCAGAGAAGTTTTTCATAGTGTGAGTGTAAACAAAAGCATAATAAAATAACATTAGATGTTACAGATAGTAAAACAACGTTAGATGTTACAGATAGTAAAACAACGTTAGATGTTACAGATAGTAAAACAACTTTAGATGTTACAGATAGTAAAACAACTTTAGATGTTACAGATAGTAAAACAACATTAGATGTTACAGATAGTAAAACAACATTAGATGTTACAGATAGTAAAACAACATTAGATGTTACAGATAGTAAAACAACATTAGATGTTACAGATAGTAAAACAACTTTAGATGTTACAGATAGTAAAACAACATTAGATGTCACAGATAGTAAAACAACTTTAGATGTTACAGATAGTAAAACAACATTAGATGTTACAGATAGTAAAACAACTTTAGATGTTACAGATAGTAAAACAACATTAGATGTCACAGATAGTAAAACAACTTTAGATGTTACAGATAGTAAAACAACATTAGATGTTACAGATAGTAAAACAACTTTAGATGTTACAGATAGTAAAACAACATTAGATGTCACAGATAGTAAAACAGCTTTAGAAAAGTACCTGGTCGATAAATGCACGGCTGATCTTTCGGGAAATCTTTGACGTCAACAATTTTGAGTCTCTTGACACCACAGGCTGGGGCGGGGCTACTCTGGGTGACCCTCAGACCATAGGCAGAAGCCACCGCCTCAGTGACGTCACGGCTCTCAGAACTTTTCAACGGAGCACCTTCATCTGCACTTTTCGCTTTTTGGGGCGTTTTTTTAACGGCCTTAGCGGCACCGTCAGTCTCCGTGAGATTCTGTGAAGCTTTGGGCCCCGCCCCCTTCTTGACCCGCCTCCTCCCGTCTTTCGTCTCTTTCACCAGCGGCTTGGTCTCCTCCTCAACGTCTTGGAGATGTTTGGCCGGGGAAACCTCCAGCGTCGTGTCTCTCTCAGCCGCCGCTAGTGCAAGCTTCTCACTGGCGTCCAGATCATCCACGTGTACACCCTCCTGGCACACGCCAAACTCCTCCAGCTCAACATCTTTCCCGTCTCCAACAAAAGGCGACGTGTCCCTATACTGTGGCAAGCTGGCCACACACACCACAGCTTCCATGTTTGTCTCCAGCTCCTGCTTGTCTTTAACAACAAACGAGGAATCTCCAGGCGCCGCTTCCTTTTCATCCACAAGCAACGAGTTCTCGTCTGCTTCATTCACGCTTTGAGTCTCGTCTGGAAGAGGCATCACGACAGTGACGTCTGCGTCCTTCTCTCGTGACGCAGTCTGCACTCGACTGAACGCACTTCTCTCGACATTCTCCGCCGACAAGAACATGATCCCATCTGTACTACTCGCCGCAGGAGCCTGAATCTTTTCTTCTTGAATCTTTTCTTCTTGAAGTTTTGTTTCTTTCATTTGATCCACATCAACACCAGTGTTTTCTTCCTGCCAGCCTGCATGTTCAAAGGCCGCAGGCTCCTGTGTTGACCACTGCTCGAAACTCTCAGCATTGTCAGAGGTCATCTCGCTATCAACAATGTCCAGACACTGCTGCGCCGTCCCGTCGTGGCTGACTTGCTGACCGCTCTCGTCCTGACCTCCTGACCCCTTGTCTGCTTCACCAACCAGCGCATCCTTGGCCAACATTTGCTTCCTCCCGTCATTTGGACCTGCGTAATACTTCTGTCCTAAATTACGTTCTACACTGTTTAAAAACACTTCGCCCTGGTTATAATTATCACTAAGAGCATCCCTACACGGAGTTGGAAAAGAAAACTCGCTGTCTTTGTTAGTTTCATGAGCTAAGTCACTTTTCACTTCAGCTAGCTTGTTTGAAACAGATTCCTCGTTGCCTAGACTTACTTCATTGGTTAAATCTAAACCATTTCCCTTTTCTTCAACATTAACCAACAAATCTGGGTTCTCTTGAAATGTTGTATGTGATATAACAATGTTCATATCTTCACTATTCTCTAACACTTCATGTCTAACGTTTACTTCCGCAACTAAATTGAACGCAGTCACTTCTTCGGTTCTTACCTCATCTTCCAGCCCAGTCGTACCCTCGACGTTATCTATCTCTTCTGAAACTTTACCTCGGGTCTTTACGCTCTCCGTGTAGTCGACAGTTTCAAGTTCTGCTACATGGTCCAGGCCTACGATGCTGGGCGAGGCATCAGTTAAAGTTACCAGGCCATGATAGCTGCCCACGAAATCTCTGAGAGTAACGGTTGAAGACGTATCCTCATCGAGGTCTTGTTTTAGAAGTGGCTCATGCTCGTCGTCTAAATCAATTGGGTTCATGACTTCAGCAAAGACATCTTCCATCTCTTCAACAGGTACATTTATCTCTTCAACCAAGGGATCTTCCATCTCTTCAACTAATACATTTTCAATGTTGTCTAAAGCTGAAGCTGGACTCGTCTTTTTAGCAAACAAATTTTCCGTGTTGGCCAAAGCTGAATTCATGTCTTCAGTTATGACATCGTTCATCTCTTCAACATTTGGATTTATTTCTTCAGCTAAAACTTCTTTCATATCTTCAACATTTGGATTTATTTCTTCCGCTAAGATATGTTCCATCTCTTCAACAGTTGGACTCATGTCTTTCATATTTTTAACAGTTGGATTTATTTCTTCAGCTAAAACATCTTTCATCTCTTCAAAAGTTGGACTCATGTCTTTAGCTAAGGCATCTTTAGTGTTGTCTAAAGATGCTCCTACTTGATTCATTGTCTGTATGTTTCCTAAGATGTATTGACGTGAAGACTTGAGCTCCTCACCGCTGTCTTTCTTTTGGTCTCTTCCTGTCTCGTCCACCTCACGAGTCTCCTCCTCCTCTCTTAATGTATTCAGTTCTAAGAGGTCATTTCGTCTCGTCTCACTCTTGGCTTGATCTGAGCCAACAAACAAATCGATCTGTGCCGTCATTTCCGTTAGGATATCTCGAATCGTGTGCACATTTCCAGGACTTTCGTTGTCCTGTGGTTTAGAGAAACCATCGCTCTGATGATCCTTGTTATAGGTACACGAGAGATCAATCAGCTCGGGACTGGTGTGAAGCTGGCTGAGTAGGTCATCCTCGGCTGTCGCAGCAGGTGAGACATAGACCTCTGCTGTTGTGGTAGGCAAGACATCCATCTGTGCTGCTGTGGTAGGCAAGACATCCATCTCTGCTGTCGTGACAGGCAAGACATCGACCTCTGCTGTTGTGGTAGGCAAGACATCCATCTCTGTTGTTGAGACAGGCAAGACATCCATCTCTGCTGTCGTGACAGGCAAGACATCGACCTCTGCTGTTGTGGTAGGCAAGACATCCATCTCTGTTGTTGAGACAGGCAAGACATCCATATCTGCTGACGAGACAGGCAAGACATCCATCTCACCTATGTTTCGAGTGGATGAAGACAGAAGATTCCCAGCGTCCAAGTGTGCAGCCCCAGGGATTTGACTCGGTCTATCCGTGTCAGGTATCTGGTCAGTGTTATCGCCTTGTTTTGTTGCAGTCTCATTCACGGTACTGCCCCTGTCCTGGTAAAAACCATCTTCACACTGCTCTGATTCCTCGTCTATAACATGTTCACACGGTCGAGCTTCTTCTGTTTGTAACTGTTCAATTGACATTTCGTCACTTTCATTCTTTTCTATGACATCTTGTAAGGCTATTTCGCTTGAAATTGTTTCTGGACCATTATCTATTGTGTCCTTCTTTTGGAGACAGCCTGCCATAGACTCCGTGTGAGTGTGCAATGCTGTATCACCTCCATCAACTTCCACGACACCAGAAATTGTTGTAGGATCTAAATGGCTTCTTATTTCGATTACACATTCTGTAATTTCATGATCTTCGTAGCTCACGGTGAATTCTAACTTTTCATGCTGTACCTTTTCTTCCTTCATGTCAAAATGTTGGCTGGGTATTTGGAGGACATTTTCAGCGGTTTCTTCCAGCTGATCGTTTTGCACATGTAAATAACATTTTTCGTCAAAGTGCCCATCTAGCTCTGCTTCTTGTTCATCACCATGGTCAGCAAGATCTTCGTACTGTTTATCGAGATACCCAGCTAGCTCTTCGTCCTGTTCACTAAGATGCCCAGCTAGCTCTTTGTTCAGTACTTTTAGATGCCCAGCTAGCTCTATTTCCTGTTCATCAAGATGTCCATCTAGTTCTACTTTCTGTTCATGAAGATGCCCAGCTAGCTCTTCGTCCTGTTCATCAAGATGCCCTGCTAGGTCTTCATCATATTCATGAAAATGCCCAGCTAGCGTTGCGTCCTGTTCATAATAATGCCCAACTAACTTTTCTTCCTGTTCATCTTGATACCCTGCTAGCTCTTCGTCCTGTTCTTCAAGATGCACAGCTAGCGCTACTTTTACCTCCTGCTCATCAAACTGTACAGCTAGATCTTCCTGTTCATCAAGATGCTCAGCCGGCTCTTCGTCCTGTTCATTTGAACGCACACCTAGCATTTCTCTCTGTTCATTTAGAAGCCCAGCTTGCTCTACTTCCTTTTCATCAAGCTGTGCAGCTAGATCCACTTCTTGTTCATCAAGCTGTGCAGCTAGATCCACTTCCTGTTCATCAAGCTGTGCAGCTAGATCCACTTCCTGTTCATCAAGCTGTGCAGCTAGATCCACTTCCTGTTCATCAAGCTGTGCAGCTAGATCCACTTCCTGTTCATCAAGATGCCCAGCTAGCTCTTCTTCCTGTTTAAGTCGATGCCCAGCTAGCTGCACTTTTTGTTGGTCTAGATGCCCTGTAAACTTTACGTCCTCTTTATGAATATGCCCTACTTGATCTTCATGTTGTTCATCGAGATACCTTCTTAGCTCTATTTCCTGTTTATCTAAGAGCCCTTCTAGTTCAATGTTTCCTTGAGCTGCACCAACTTCTACTGAAGGTATTTCTAAACACGGATCAAAAATTCTTCCTTCAAGTTCATCAACATTCTCTTCTATATATTCCACTTCCTTTCCTTGTTGAAAATCCACATTTTCCACAGCCTCTTGTAAATCCACATTTTCCACAGCTTCTTTTAGTTGTAAATCCACATTTTCCACAGCCTCTTCTGGTTGTAAATCCACATTTTCCGCAGCCTCTTGTAAATCCACATTTTCCACAGCCTCTTGTAAATCCACATTTTCCACAGCTTCTTGTAGTTGTAAATCCACATTTTCCACAGCCTCTTGTAAATCCACATTTTCCACATCCTCTTCTGGTTGTAAATCCACATTTTCCACAGCCTCTTGTAAATCCACATTTTCCACAGCCTCTTGTAAATCCACATTTTCCACAGCCTCTTGTAAATCCACATTTTCCACATCCTCTTCTGGTTGTAAATCCACATTTTCCACATCCTCTTCTGGTTGTAAATCCACATTTTCCACAGCCTCTTGTAAATCCACATTTTCCACAGCATCTTTTAGTTGTAAATCCACATTTTCCACATCCTTTTCGGGTTGTAAATCAACATTTTCCACAGTCTCTTCTGGTTGTAAATCCACATTTTCCACATCCTCTTCTGGTTGTAAATCTGCATTTTCCACAGTCTCATTTACTTTGACATCCATACTTTCCACTAACCCTTTCTGCTGTAAATTCACGTTTTCTACATCAGTACGTCGAAAACCAACATCTTCCACTTTGTTTTCCCACTGTACATCAACATCTTTCTCCGTCTCTTCTACATGTACATGCTCCGACATCTTTTCTGCCTGGATATCTAAATGTTCTGCCATCTCATCCGCTTGTGTGTTTTCTATATTGTCGGACATTTCATTGTCTTTATCAGATAAACTAATGTTTTGTGTGACATGCTCAAGATCACCTTTACTCTGATCGTCTTGTCCTCGTTCTGTTTCGCAGGTGAATGCCGAGTTAAATAACTGGTCATCGCAGTTGTCTTGAGTGTCTTCTTTTCTCAAGCTGCACACCGTAACTAGCGTTGTTTCCTGGGTGTAAGTTGACATGGTCGATGTGTTTTCTGCCTCGAAGGTTCGGCTAGGGTCATCTTCAGCCTCCAAATGGTGGTAAACCTCTTCAGTCTCCAACAACTCATCATTTGGTTCTTGACTCTCTTCATTCTCAAAAAACTCATCATTTGGTTGGTGACTCTCTTCATTCTCAAAAAACTCATCATTTGGTTCTTGACTCTCTTCATTCTCAAAAAACTCATCATTTGGTTCTTGACTCTCTTCATTCTCAAAAAACTCATCATTTGGTTGTTGACTCTCTTCATTCTCAAAAAACTCATCATTTGGTTGTTGAATCTCTTCATTCTCAAAAAACTCATCATTTGGTTGTTGACTCTCTTCATTCTCAAAAAACTCATCATTTGATTGCTGATTTTCTTCATTCTCAAAAAACTCATCATTTGGTTGTTGCCTCTCTTCATTCTCAAAAAACTCATCATTTGGTTGTTGACTCTCTTCATTCTCAAAAAACTCATCATTTGGTTGTTGACTCTCTTCATTCTCAAAAAACTCATCATTTGATTGCTGATTTTCTTCATTCTCAAAAAACTCATCATTTGGTTGTTGACTCTCTTCATTCTCAAAAAACTCATCATTTGGTTGCTGAATCTCTTCATTCTCAAAAAACTCATCATTTGGTTGTTGACTCTCTTCATTCTCAAAAAACTCATCATTTGGTTCTTGACTCTCTTCATTCTCAAAAAACTCATCATTTGGTTGTTGACTCTCTTCATTCTCAAAAAACTCATCATTTGGTTGCTGACTCTCTTCATTCTCAAAAAACTCATCATTTGGTTGCTGACTATCTTCATTCTCAAAAAACTCATCATTTGGTTGTTGACTCTCTTCATTCTCTAACAACTCATCATTTGGTTGCCGACTCTCTTCATTCTCAAAAAACTCATCATTTGGTTGTTGAATCTCTTCATTCTCTAACAACTCATCATTTGGTTGCCGACTCTCTTCATTATCAAAAAACTCATCATTTGGTTGCCGACTCTCTTCATTATCAAAAAACTCATCATTTGGTTGTTGACTCTCTTCATTCTCCGACAACTCATCATCTAGTTGTTGACTCTCTTTAGGCTCTAACAACTCATTATTTGGCTGTCGAACATCTTCAATCTCCAACTCATCATCAGGTTGTTGATCAACTTTAGGCTCAAACAACTCATCATTTGGATGATGTTTACAAGCAGCATCTATAGCTGTCAAACGGTTATCAATCGGCTTTTCTAGCAAATGTTGAGAACCGTCTTCAGCTCTCTCCTGAGGAGAGTTATACAAAATGTGCTGCTGACCCAAGTTTGACGCCTCGAGTTGCTTTCCTTCTGAACAACGAACATACTCGCAGGAAGAAGGTCCATGTTCACTGATGGTGGCTTGTGGTGCCAGAACAGGGCTAATGACCATGTTGCCTTGACCTTGGGCCAGCGCGAGCAAGTCTTTCAGTCGCTCACTCCTGTCATCAATGGACTCAGACAGTGAGTCCTCTTCCCCCACGCAGCATTGCATGTTGAGCTGCCCTTCAGCCATCTGAGAGACTTCGTGCACATTACGAGCCTGTTCGTCAGTAGGCGGGTGGGGCTCTTGGCCTGAAACATTCAGTGACTCGCCGCCTTCGTCCCAATCACCGGACACGTTTTCCGTCGAGTACTTTGGCGGGTGGTTAAAAGACTCGTCAAAGATTTGACAGACAGGCAGCGAGGCTGGGTTCAGTTGCCCCGGGCGTTTGACGTGTGCCCCATCCCCGTGAGACGAGTTGTGTGGAGGGCTGTTCTGGAGATCGACGCTGTTCCCCAGTTCATACACGGACTCCTCCAGATCCACAGACTCATTCAGCGAGGCTGTGGTCGTCTCTTCTCGCTGTTGGAGGCCGTCGTTGAACTCGACCGAGTCTCGGTCAGGGGAGGAAAGACGACTGTTTGTCTTTTCACTGATGGTGGGGGTGCTGCAGGAGACGTTGGTGTGGCTGTTGGCTACTCCGTTCACTTTGGCTCGATGCAAGGAGGTTCGTTTACCAAAACGACTCGTGGTCGTTTTGCTGTTCTCTAGATTCCAGGTGTATTCTTCGACAGACTTGTCCTCCTCGTTTAAAGTTTCGTCGGACTCGGTTCTTTGAGTTCTGTTGGCCTGGGAGTCTCCTATAGAACTGTCCTCAGTGCTGGAGGTCACGGTCTGTGATTCCAGGCCACACGAGGACTTGACGTTGTGATCTCTGACGTCACCCGCGTCATCCGATCGGCTGGTTTGTTCGCTCGACTGCCTGGAACTTTCCCTCACGGTTGGCTGATTCTGAAAAGTTGCCGTAACCTCTGTCACCGTTGCCTGATGGCCCACAGACACAGTGGGGGTGTTCTTCAGCACATCCGACACCGTGCTGGTTCTATCTCTAGCCACGTGAACATTGTCCAGCCTCTGAACGTCGCCCACGGCGTTTCTCAGCAACTTCTGCTGCTTGCCCGCCGAGCTGCCCCTGTCTTCCCGGTCTCTCTTACGCTTGTTTCTCTCTCGTTCTCTCCCTCTTTGTTTGGAGCTGGTGTCCTTCTCTCTTTGTTTCTTGGCGTCCTTATCTTTAAACTCCTTGTCCTGTCTCTCGGAGCTGGCCGAGCCTGTCGTGTGTTCCGAGTGGGACTCCCGCGGGACAGACGAGTCGGCCCCACTGCCAGCGGCCTCACCCACGATAGAATCTGAGCCGGAGCCCTTGGGTCGGGAGGAGACGGGGGCGGGTTTGGCCGTGCTGTCCTCACATACGGTCGTCTCAGCTGGTCTGGCACTTTGTGGAGCGTCCTGAAGAAAATTCAGTCGACCAACGCTTGCATTAAAAACCTACCATACAATTATTTCTTTTTTCGTTAGTTATAAATAAAATATTATCATTAACTCTTTTAAAAAATACACATGGCAATTGATATATTTCCCGCACCTTAGTTTATTAAAAAATTACTGTATGGTGTGGGGGTTATCTCTACTTACTGCTAAAGACTCTAATCAATCGATTAGGATAACATTCTACCTACTTTCCACATACACCTTGTTTCGTTTGTTTATAACTGTCGCTGTCATTGTAACAATTTATGCTTGTAATATATTTTCTGTACGGCGTGGTCGGATGATAGAGCCCATAACTACTGGGCAGAAAGTTTCGAGTTCGGATCCCCGGGGGTCGTGTCTATAGGAAAACCTAAGGCTCACCCCATGCATGCCGAGGTCATTAAGACATGTGAACTCTACCACGTGACGATGATCCTTTAATTAGCTTTATTTTGCCAACTCTGCAACCATAGGCCTACCTTTTACAACAATGGGTGTTAATGTTGTAGGCCAACATTTATGATTTACTGAATATGTCGGAAATATGGTAATAATAACACGTTAAATACTTGATATCTTTGTATCAACCTATTGCAACTTTAATAGAAAGTAAAAATCTTCCATCAATAAACATCAAGTTTGAAAAAAAAAATCTAATGGACGATTCGAGTTGTTGACGATGATGTAAAAACGATGTAAAAACGATGTAAAAACGATAACGAGACGCAAGTATGGCACAATGAAAAACAAACAGTGGTAGACATTGGGCAACAAACACTTTAAAAAAAGTATTTCTAGGCTGTCCAATTTTTCGTGCATAATTAAAAATTAATTATTTAAGTGTACAAATTAAGACATTTTAGAACCCATGCAACACCCTTGCAAATAGTGGTTGGTTTTGGGGAGTTAAGGCGACACGTATAGTTTAAACGCTCTCCTTCCACACATTTTTTTTCTTTCAAAATGACGGTTGGTGTAAAATACTGACGCGGTACCTTCTCAATGTCCTGCATCGCTTTATTGAGTGCAAGTTGAACTATGACCTCACACAGTGAGCCGAGGACAATCTGGTTGATGTAGATGTTGAGGCTGGCTATGCATGCGACTGGCTGAAAGTCAAATGTTATACCACTCCATTTTACCCCACACACAGTGAAGTCAAATGTTATACCACTCCATTTTACCCCACACACAGTGAAAGTCAAATGTTATACCACTCCATTTTACCTCACACACAGTGAAAGTCAAATGTTATACCACTCCATTTTACCCCACACTCAGTGAAAGTCAAATGTTATACCACTCCATTTTACCTCACACACAGTGAAAGTCAAATGTTATACCACTCCATTTTACCCCACACACAGTGAAAGTCAAATGTTATACCACTCCATTTTACCCCACACACAGTGAAAGTCAAATGTTATACCACTCCATTTTACCTCACACACAGTGAAAGTCAAATGTTATACCACTCCATTTTACCCCACACACAGTGAAAGTCAAATGTTATACCACTCCATTTTACCCCACACACAGTCAACTTGTTTTTACATCTATACAACACCCACTCTGGTCATTAGACAAAATCGTAAGTTCTTAAAGCAGAGATATAAATATTTATATCCGTGTAATAATTATATAAGCGTTATAAATGCTTATATTAGTCTTACAAATTAGTCGTATAAATATTTATATCATGTGTTGTAAATAATAAAAAAATACTTATGTGAGTCTTAAAAATACTTATAATAGTCATAAATAGTTTTATAAGTCGTAAAAATATCTTTACCAGTCTCATTACTACTTATTCTTATAAAAAGCTTATATCAGCCTAGTAAATATATCAACTGTATACATTACTTCAGTCAATGTTTAAAATACTTATACCAGGCTTACCTTGAAGACGCCCGCCTCAGTGGTAAGTGTAGGTCGAGTAGAGGTGAGGACATCCCCCATGGGTATGACCTGCTCCTCTCCTATCGTGAAGAACAGATTCTCGGTGCCCGTGTCCCCGCCATTGAGGTAGGCCTCTGTCCACACATCTTGGCCACTGGTCAGCTCCCCGTCGTTCTGACAGCCCCAGTCGAGGGGGCGCCCCACGGTCTCCCCATTGAAGGCCTCTGTCCACACATCTTGGCCACTGGTCATCTCCCCGTCGTTCTGACAGCCCCAATCAAGAGGGCGCCCCACGGTCTCCTCATTGAGCTGCAGCTCCCGGAGCTCCAGGCAGCTCTCTTCACTGTCCCTGCCGTGTTCGAGTGTTGTGATACTTGCTTCAGAGTACGAACAGCTCTGTGATGGTAGGAAGCTGGGCTGGAGGTCTATGTCGACTCGGTGCTCTGATGAGGTGGAGTATCGAATGTCTTGGCGGGGGCATACAAGATCATCAGGCCCGGGGGTCATCAGGTTAGCTTGCTCTCCGGCCCCGGGGATGGCGCCCCGGCTGACAGACGACTCAAAGATCTCCGCCTCCTCGCTGCCGTCAGGGAGGAGCAGGTTGATGGGGTGGCTGTTGCACCTGTCGTTGATGATTGACACCTGGTGACCCGGCGCGGTGCAATATTCATCCGTCTCCATTTCCGTTTCATTTTTCTGCACAATTTCCCGTTCCACTTCGCCTTCGCCGCCTGCCAGTGTGGTAAAGTGGGATCTCCCACCCAGAGAAGTCTGGAACTGAGAGGAGGCATCGTTCGGACTGTCCAGTTGGGCTAAACTAAGCTCAACACGTGCTGACGTGGCCGTGTCCCCGAAACTTTGGGCCAGAACTTTCCTAGTCTCCGCCCCCTGAGACCGGGTTTGTCTAGCCGCCCCGTGTTCTTCTTCATCGTCCTCCTCCACCCGACTCAGGAGCCTTTGGAAAACAGAGTCAGGGGTGCGCGTCAGCAGCTCTTCGGATATGCTCGTCAGCGCAGGTTTGCTGCTGACGCGAGAGGTCACGTGGTGTCTGCGCGAGAGGACGGAGGAGGAGGAGCGTGACTCATACAAACTGACGTCCTCTTTGTCTTCATACAGTGACTCTTGTATGGCCGGCAGAAGAGTCAGTGACCTAGTTTTGCTGCTAGACGGCCGGATCCCATCGACTATGTCTAGCGCCTCGGGTTGCAGGAAGGGTTTGCCTGCAAAGTGTGGAGTCTCGGGTTGCAGGAAGGGTTTGCCTGCAATATGCGAAGCTTCTGGTTGCAGGAAGGGTTTGCCTGTAATGTGTGATGCTTCGATCGCAGGGCCGCGGTCATCTTTCCTAAGACTCCGAAGTTCCGGTTTTACGCTAGGTGGGATAGTTTTGTCCAGTGGATGTTTCTAGAAAAAACAACATCATGGATTGAATCGACTTGGACGATGTCGGATTATTTAATCAACTGTTATCTTTATAATCTTTTAATGACTTTATATTTAACGCTAATTTAATTTTCTTTTGTATATTAACAAACGAGTTATAATTACTGACAAGTTGAGTAGAAATGTTTAATCATTTAAACCGTTGATAGAATCTTTAAACTGTAGCTCTAAGTCTGTATACAAATGTTCGAGTGCACATTAACATGGGAGCTATATTTAGTACAAACGAGAAAAAAATATTGTATCCTCAACTCACACGAGTACTTAATCACTTTGTAAAGTACATTTTTCTGTCAGTTGCCAACGGTGGTAATCGACTAGCCAAGTCAAAATTGTCACAATTGTGATACTTCACTGTCGAGTGGGTTTTGTGGGCATGGGTTGGATTAGAAGCTATCGTTATTCGCTGCTTTGTGAGTATGTCGTTTGGCTAATCGACAATAGATTTATTTGTTTATAGATCTAAGTGTTTGACAGCAGTGTTACCTATTAATAGTTCAATTAAACGATTGCTAATTATGTCATCAACAAGAATCGATATTTGATTTTTTAGATGTTCGATTGTCAAGATTAAGGTTATCCGATCTTAGAGATAGATCTACCCATACTTAGAAATTCAAATTTCAAATTAAAGCATATCTAACTTCGAGATACCCGTATGTCAGAATGTAAATATCAACCCTTGCTGTTCCCTATCAATACCACAATCCCTTACCCCCAACATCCTGTGATAAACAATCCTATTTACATGGAAACTAACAACTACTGTGGGAGATAAGCTCTTAGAGCTGAAGTTTCAGCCGAAACTCGTCAGAGCTTACCTCAGTCCCATCGTTCTCCATGAGTACAAGGCCCGATCACCATCCTTAGTCTAACAATAACATTGTCATTTGTTTTTACTTTCTAGCCTGCAGCCCAGTCGACATTTTGCGTCATACGAAAACGTGACGTAGTGCAAGTTTGCGCACTTTTAATTTATGCAAAACATTCCTAATTGCACGAAAATATACGAAACAATTGTCTGAATACAATGGCGTGTACTAGTCTAAAAGTCAGTACGGACGTCGGCTGGAGATTTTCTTTCTGTGACGTACCCAGGGGCGGACTGGCTGTGCCCAAGAGGCCCCGGAAAAAAAATGCGACCCCAGCCCTGAGTGAAATATTTATTGTACATTGTTTCCGCATCACAGTCATAAGTCACTTTACTAATTACAACTCATAATAACACACAAATGGTGAAGTACGCACATGGTGTTGTATGTTTAACAAAACAAAAATTGTTTAAAAAAAATCATAGCACAAACAGGCGTATTACCGTACCTCTGATGGTGGTCCATCAGGATTTTTCTCAGTATCCGCACGGGCTCTCAACCCTGGATGTACCTCTTCAAAATGTAGTTACTGGCATGGTATTTTTTTTTCTGGAGAGTTTTAGATATACTTCCAGCGGGGTTAAAACAAATACAAAATTACGAATTCATTTGTTGTTTGGTATTTGTTTTAATTTTGCTGCTTATGTCACCCCAGTCCACCCTGACCCTTTGATGTCCTGCCTGAATCACACCAAAGGTTATGCAGTGTTTCTTCCAGACTTTTTTCTCCGGGGGTGCACTTGAAATCTTCGGGGGGGGGGGGCGGTAAACTTTCTTCGGGGGGGCGGACACTGTTAAAAGTATATATTTTCTATATAAATTATATAAATTTCATTTCGTTCGGGGGGGGGGGGGGGCGGTAAAAAAATTTCGGGGGGGGGGGGGGGGCTTCGCCCCCCCCCCCCGAAGAGATGCCTGGAAGAAACTCTGAGGTTATGGCCAAAGATGTTAAGCTGGACTAAAGTTCTGTTGATTATTTATAAAATGTGCCAAGCGTAAAGTCATGTTCAAAGTGTTTACGCTTAGGCGGTGAACAGCAGCCTATCATGTTGGGCACCCGGAATTTGATGCTTTATGCTATGACCACGTTCAAAAGAAGGCTCATTCTGTTAATTGGTTAGGGCCTGGGTTAGATGCTCGGTTTGGTTAGCAATAGCAGGTTTAGTTAACATCGGTACAGGTCTACCAGTGAACATTGAAACAGCTAATACACTGATGCTAGGTTAGGTTATTTTATTTTACCGAGGAATTATGGTTTCTATTATGAGATTTATAAATTTGGTCTACTTTAGCAAGTATTATGATTTAGACTGGGTTTAGAGTTTGGAGTATCGGCTAAATTAGAAAACCGGAAAAGAAAAGCACGACTAGCCACTGTCCTCTAAAATCCTACCTAGCCATTGTCCTCTAAAGTCCTAACTAGCCAATGTTCTCTAATGTCCTGCCAAGCCATATTCCTCTAAAATCCTGCCTAGTCACTGTCCTCTATAGTCCTAACTAGCCACTGTCCTCTAAAGTCCTGCCTGTCCAGTTCTCCATCAGTGTTTCTTCCAGACTTTTTTCTCCGGGGGGGGGGGGCAGTTGATATTTTCGGGGGGGGGGGGGGCGGTCAACATTTTCCGGTGGGCGGACACTAGTAAAAGTATATTTTCTATATAAATTCCAATTCGTTCGGGGGGGGGGGAGGGAGGGAGGGAGAGGGGGCTGGGCCCCATTCCCCCCCCCCCCCCCCCCGAAGAGATGCCTTGAAGAAACTCTGTTCTCCATCAGACCACTACAGTGTGTGGTAAAGATCAGTTTCTGGTCGAGCAGAATGAAAACACGGTAAAAATCTTTCTTTAAGTCATCATACAAGAGAGTATTGTTGTATGTGGTTTGTTGAAATGACCCCATGAGCGCCCGCTATTGTGTACATGTGGGCTACTGTATCAATGCCACTGTGTCATCCTCCATCAGATCGTCAGGGAAGAATGGAAGGCATTCAGGCAGATACAGGCACATCCTGGTGGTGACGTCATGTTGAATCACCGGTAGCTGAGTTTATGGCCGAGGGTTATATTTGTAGGGCACACTTCCGTCGTTTCATTTAGTAAACACGTTTTTTTTGACTGACATACATGACTAGGGTTTCTTCCAGACTCATTTCCGGGGGGTGGGGGGGGGGGGGGGGGGGGGGGGGGGAATGGCGAATGCCTGGAAGAAACTCTAAGATCCCTAAACAGGAATTAGTTGTCATAACTGATGTTTCACCCTCAACTAAAATGACGTAACTGTTTCACATACCTCGCCCCTCCCAATCGCATCTTAAACAAAACAGCTGATAAAAAAAATTACAACATAGCTTTAATTAGACATCCTTTAGTTAAGGTTATTGAAACTACTGTCGGGTGTTAATTTTCTTACAACTATTTACTCAGCCCATGTCAATAGATATTGTCACAAGCTAGTTTCAAAAACAAAATTTGCAATAGGAAATGGGGAGGTGAGGTAGTGTTGTTGTGAAAAGTGATGTCAATTCAGGTATGTGGACAAGTGCTTGTGTGTGTGTGTGTGTGGGGGGGGGGGGTGTTATTTAACAATAGTAAAAAAAAAGCGCACTGCGATTTATGGGCAGTAGGAGACAAAACACAAGACTGATATAACTAATTAGAAATACGTTGAAACAAACAATAAAACTTATTATTTATTAATTTAAAAAAAATGACACGTTTCTTTTTTAATGTTTGTGGGGCTGGCGTGGGGAGCTTATTCAAACCAACGCTAAAAGAAACACATTTTTTAAACAGATGTAGGCTAGATAACAGATCTAGTAAAATGTTGTTTACATCTAGGTTACTATTTTTAAACGCAAAAGTAGGCTATGACTAAGGTCACAGTCAGTTTGCGCTAGCAATTTTCCATTCACAGCTTTTCATTCATTCAACATCCCACTCCTTTTTCTTTTGTTAGCAGTAGAAAATACCCAACACTTTTTTAGTCAACAGGTCCATTTTTACTTCCGGAAACTCTTTTTAAGGGAAATGAGGAAGATGGCGTAAGTTCAGTGTTGTTCCCCTTTAACAGGAAGAGAAAGGAATCTGTTACAAACAAAATGACTGACAACAAATTCATTAAATGTGTTGTAGTAGGCGACGGCGCTGTAGGGAAAACGTGTATGCTGATGAGCTATGCAACAAATAAATTTCCTACAGAATATGTACCAACTGTATTCGACAACTATGCAGGTAAGGAATTATTAAAGGATTAGATTGAGAATAGAAGGAATAAGGCTAATAACTTGTAATAAGGACATAAGGAAGAGGGCCAGAGTCCGGGTCTAGCCTACTTGTTGAATTTTATTGAATTTAACTTTAAATAACTTTTGGATTATCAATTAGTATTAGCCCTTGCCTAGCTTTAGGCCTTAGCCAGTAGTGAGATCTAGTACTTTTAGGCAATATGCCATGCCTATTAAATTATTAATAATTGACTAATAGGCCCAATTAATTTAAATTTATTAGGCAAAGTCCTAAGTTACTACTACTACTAGATCTAGTAGTAGAGTAGTTAGGCCTATTAATACTAATAATTACTAAGTTACACAATGAGTCAATAAGTAGTATAAGTATAAGTAAATAACACTGTTCAAAAGTTATTAGGCCTAGGCCTAATAATTACTAATACTAATAATATACTAATATCCCCTCTAGGCCTAATCATATTTTTAGGCCTATTTATTATTTAATATTAGGCCTAGTTATTATCTCCAAGACAAAACTAGTTAGCGGTTAGATCTAAAATCTAAACTAATTAGGTGTAGGCCTATATAATTTTGATAAATAAAAATAAATAGGCCTAGGCCTAATAATTTAAGTTCACAAAAATTGAGCCACAAATAAAACTACTAGGTTTATTGATTATTGGTTTAAATTAATTTTTTTTCACACCTCTCCAGTCACAGTCAATATCAAGGGTAATCCCTACCAGCTTGGTCTATTTGACACAGCCGGCCAGGTCAGTCAAGAAAATAAGCTACCCCATTTATTTCCTAATTTAATTAATACCTAAGCTGTCGACTTTTATTCTTTAAAAATATGCGTTCTGATCTGTATCAAATTTTTATTATTTCTGTATATATAGGAGGAGTATACAAGCCTGCGAATGCTTTCATATCCAGAAACAAGTGTGTTTCTAGTGTGTTACTCAGTGGTCATGCCAGAGTCAATGCGGCATGCGGAGATAAAGTGGGTTCCTGAGTTCCATCACACGGTACCCAAGGCCCCATTTGTAATGGTGGGTACACAGATTGATCTACGGGATGACGAAGCCACCAAAATAAAATTGCAGAAAAGAAAATTGCGTCCAGTAACTACAGAGGAAGGCCAAAGACTTGCTAAGAGACTTGGTGCAGACTGCTATGTGGAGTGTAGTTCTTTAACTAGACAAGGATTAAAGGACGTGTTTGACGAGGCGCTGCTGGCTGTTCTAGAGCCAAAAAACACCAAGCCAGAGAGGAGGAAACACAAACATGGATGTACCATATTATAAACAACCTAGTTTTGATACTGGCCGACTTAGTGATATCTTCTGCTGAATTAGTCATAACGTCCAGATTTTTAACTAACCCCTGCCTTACATATGAACTTTGACATTTGCATGTTTGAAAGCGATGTAACTTTGTGTAAGTGAATGCTTCAAAAGATAGTGTGTGGTAATAGACAAGGCTTCTTACTATTAACCTGTTGTTTATAATTTGTTATCTGTATGTACAATGATCTTTTGTTTATAACTAACATTATGGTCTATTTATTAACTGTAAAACAGTTGTATTATATGAGCCACTGCATACCAAGCCAGGAAATAGATTACAGTTTGCAAAAATGTTTTTTAACTTTTTATTTGATTTATATAGTTCAAATATTAATTTTTTTGTTGACATTTTTGATTAATTTAAAAAACTACTGTTAAATGACTTGTTTCAAACCTGAAGTTGACTTTCTAAACTTTCCAGATTAAATTAAAAAAAACTTATCACTTATTGCAGAAAATATCTTTTTCTATGCTAAAAACTAAATTAGGATGTACCAAACTTTTAGAGTTATAAACCTTGGGAGAAATTATTTCCATTGAAGTCATTTGAAAGTATAAAACATTTGAAAGTATAAAACATTTGAAAGTATAAAACATTTTAAAGTATAAAACATGCCACAGTCACAGAAACAGATAAACTCTGCTTCTCCTGGCCCATCCAGTTAAAAAACAACAGTATTTTTTTTTTGTGTACAAATTTTAAAATTTCTGTGTTTACCACTGTGAACATAAAGCTATACAGGAATGAATGTTGTAGTTTATGTGAGCCAATCTCATAAAAAACATGACTAAAAATTGCCTTCATAAGGTAATTCGTTATTTTTTATAAGTTTGGAATTTAAAATCTTAAGACATTAACTGTGTCTCTAAATCTAAAGATGCGTGTGCTGTCTTTAGAGCTAACGAACAAAGTATTATTTAAATTATTACATCTGTTCTTAAACTAAACTAATTAATTTGTGAAATTTAAATGAGTTAACCAAATTTTTATTTAAAAGTTTTTTTGATGCTTTTATTAAGTAATTGAATGTGCATTGTGCATTCATTCTTACAATATCTGCTTTAATTAGTTGGCGTGCTAGTCATTAGTAAACATCCTTCTCAAATTGTTTTGTGTTTTTAAAGGATATGGAATATAATCAGTGAAATTTTATAAACATTTCTTATGAAATTAAATTTTTGTATATAATATATCACTCATAGTAATGCACACTATAAGTTTAGAATCATCATTCCAGAAGTAAATTATATGATTTTTTTATTTATAACTAGACTTGTTCATACTTGAACTAGTTATATATGTATTGAGTCTCTTGACTAGTCATTGAACTTTTTTTTATTGGGAATTTTGGACAATTATCTAAGAAATTACTTGCTTTTCAAAATGATTAATTAAAATTTAATGTTTTAATGCTAAAGACTAGGGTATACCCAGATGCATATTGATCGTAATGTCAGTCAAAATGCTGAAATAATAGATTAGTCCTCTATCCAATTTGCTTATAAGTAGAACTGACATGTCATTTAATTAGTCACCATTAATTGTTTTGCTGTCAGTGAAAATGTTACTTTGTTAAGTTAATGAAACAAATACTAATGTAGCTGCTCTAAATTGAACTGTCCGTCAAGGAAATTGTTACTTTGTTAGTTCAACTAAAATTGCTCAGTGTATTGTTAGATAACATTTTGCTCAGTGAGTTTGGTAAAAATATTCTATGCACAAACTAAACACTAACACCTAACATTTCTTTAGCTCTCTCCCAGCTCAGTAAGTTTGGTAAAAATATTCTATGCACAAACTAAACACCAACACCTAACATTTCTTTAGCTCTCTCCCATGTTTGCTCAGTAAGTTTGGTAAAAATATTCCATGCACAAACTAAACATTAACACCTACCATTTCTTTAGCTCTCTCCCATGTTTGCTCAGTACAATTGGTTTATGTTTCTACCAAGTCCCATCTTTGTGCTCAATGTTTTACACACTGACTCCAGGTTTGTCTCATCAGTTTATATACAGTGACTCCAGATCTAACTTTACACACAGCAGTGACACTACTTCTTCTCACTTTACACACAGCAGTGACACTACTTCTTCTCACTTTACACACAGCAGTGACACTACTTCTTCTCACTTTACACACAGCAGCGACACTACTTCTTCTCACTTTACACACAGCAGTGACACCACTTCTTCTCACTTTACACACAGCAGTGACACTACTTCTTCTCACTTTACACACAGCAGTGACACCACTTCTTCTCACTTTACACACAGCAGCGACACCACTTCTTCTCACTTTACACACAGCAGCGAAACCACTTCTTCTCACTTTACACACAGTGACGCCAGACTTGACTTCTGACTAAGTATTTTATAATGTTGAAAGTATTTTCAAACTAGATTGTACTTGTTAAGTTTTTGAAGTTCTTTGCTTCTTTTTATGTAGCATTTATATCTGTTTCAAACTGCTGTTTACTTGTAACCAATGTAAATCAAATGGAAGCAGTAAGTCCCTAATACCTTTTGACTATGGAAGCAGTAAGTCCCTAATACCTTTTGACTATGTCATGTTATGTATTACCAGCATTGCTTTGATGTATATTTTTTACCTTATACTTTTACTAGTCTTCACCAAATGTTTTTTGTTCAGCAAAGCTTTTAGAAAACAACCCAGCCTATAGATTGTGGCACTTATGTATAATAAGATAATATCTACTGCAGAGAAGTAATCAAAAATAGATGAAATACAAATTGTGTTAAAGAAATAGGCTTATTTTAAAAAAAACCTGGATCATTACACAGCATTCTAAAAATATAAACATCATTAAAAACGATATTAATTTAATAGTATAAATCAGAACAAATAAGTAAACTTTATTTCATAAACATTTGAAAGAATATGTAGACATATCATTGATAATCAGGGTAAATTGATGATTTTATTTCTTGTACAATCTCTAGCTGTCTCCTAGATATGGACCTGCCAGGCTAGTTCACTGCTTATATTTTGTTATACCTTTAACAATCATCAGTAACAGATGAAGATGATTGAACCTTTATGAATAGATGAAGTTTTTATTGGATGAGCTACCTGCTTACATGGCAATTATTGTCAAATTTTCATGACAGTTTGTGGCACTTTTTCATTAGTTTTTTTTTTCCATTTTCTAACCTTGCTTTTGCTTTGTTGGTAACAGTGACAGTGTAGATTTGTCCTAGTGTTGGTTTTTCCTAGTGTAGGTTTGTCCTAATATCACTCTAGGTTTGTCACTGTTCTGTTTTTATGATGAAGTTATGATGGAAGCAATTAAAAAGTTGGTTGCTAGGTTACTCAGAAATGAGAAGTGATGATTGTGTGCTTGAGTTCTGTAAAAATATTTGATATGTGCTGAAGACGAGAGCAGTGTTACTTGTTATTATGTGATACAACTATTTCGGCCTTCTACTTAACGTACTACTATATGTGGTAGTAGCCAGGTCACATATTACGTGTTGATCTATCCTTTGGTTTGGCTTGAACTCATGGATTGTTGTCTTGAAAATGTTCTAGAACAAACACACAGTTCAGTGGAGATGTTACTTGTACTGAATGTTTGTATGTTATTTGTACAGAACGTTTGTATGTTGGTAGGACTGGGGGTGTGAGTACTGTTGTACTTTTTTGACCAGTAACTTACTGTGCTGTTACCAGTAACTTACTGCACTGTTATTTGAGCTCAAAGTTTTGTTGTACTCTGCTAGCTGTACGAGTCAGTGTTTTCTTTTAGAGTCATGTACAGAACTCTCTGTATGCTAAATCAGTGGTCTGTGGAAGACGTCTATTCTTCTTCCGTTTCTTATTTACATGCAAGTTACAAAACCCCAAAACTGTTGAGCCTGTTCAAATGTTTTCACATTTTTTGAATTGAGCATTTTATTTTTCTACAACATAAAATAGTAGGAAAAAATATCAGTTGTTGAATACCACCCATATACATATCTATGTATTTTTTTTTGACTGAAACTTTTGTGTGGTCCAGCACAATCACTTACACATTAAAATATGTGGACTTGTTTTTCTGGTGAAGTTATGACACAATCTGTTGTATGGAGATGTGTAACAATATGTTAGCATATTAATGGTGAATTTGTTATTGTCATATACACATTTTGTTTTTATTATATGACTTGGTTTGATAATAGTGGTCCAACCAGTATGGTAATAACCAGCGTTGCTATGACAACTAAAGGGATGCTATTTTTAACTATGTAAACAACCACTGCCTTAGATGCTGAGGAGCAATTGGAATGTGTGTGTTGGTGGAATATGTGTGTGTTGGTCAAGTTTTTGTGATATTGTGTGTGTGGGAATGTGTGTGAGTTGATCATGTGTTTTTGATACTGTGTGGGAATGTGTGTGGGAACTCAAGTGTTGATCTTGTGAGTTTTAAACACATGTTTGTGATATTGTGTGTGTGTTTGTGTGTGTGAACTTGAGTGTTGATATTGTGTGTGTGTGTTTGTGTGTGTGTGAACTTGAGTGTTGATCTTGTGAGATTTAAACTCATGTTTGTGATATTGTGTGTGTGTGTGTGTTTGTGTGTGTGAACTTGAGTGTTGATATTGTGTGTGTGTGTTTGTGTGTGTGTGAACTTGAGTGTTGATCTTGTGAGATTTAAACTCATGTTTGTGATATTGTGTGTGTTTGTGTGTGTGTGTGAGGACTTGAGTATTGATATTGTGTGTGTGTGTGTGTGAAATTGAGTGATGATCTTGTGAGTAGTGTACACCTTGTATTTGAGCATAATGAAAACTGTGTTCATGCCTACAACATGTATTTAGACATGTTTCAGCACATGCAATAGGAAGAATTGTATCCAAAGTTTTTATATACAACTTTTTTTCTTCACACAATCTTTACTAACTCTGTCCTGATATTAAGTGTGGGGAACTTGGTCAAACCTGATCCTTACACTTCAGTCATTCAGTCAACTTGATCTATTTTTGATCCTTACACTCCAGTCATTCAGTCAACTTGACCTGTTTTACTCAGAGAACTCTTGAGGTGACTCAAATACCATCAAATTTGTAATGTTGAACTGACTAGTTGATTTCACCCCTACAAATCTTGAGGTGACACATATGCCCTAACATATGACATTAATGCCCTAACATATGACATAAATGCCCTAACATTTGACGTTAATGCCCTAACATATGACATAAATGCCCTAACATATGGCATTAATGCCCTAACATGACAATTATGCCCTAACATAGGGCATTAATGCCCTAACACACATTTGTACATGTGTGATGATTCCTGCCTATTTTATCTTGCATGAATATATTTTCTAGTTATTTCCCTTTGCCCTTGGCCCTCCCCTTTATATTTCCCTATTGTTGTTCTACTAATTAACTAATGCAGTCCCTCCAGTGGTCTATACCAAACTGTTGTCTAAAACAACTATGACCCCTTCCCCCCACCCTCCGCCTCTTGTAGTATTTAGATTTTGTTGATGTTTGTATCAGTCAATGAGCATCCGGTCTAAATGTATTGATTGACAGCTTATATTCATTATGTTGTAGAACTAATTCTATTATTATGCAATTTTTATTTATGTTTAAAATTTTTTCTTGTCTTCACTAAAGGAAAGTGAACTGAGTCAATACAGTCTAGATAATGCTTTGTCTTATCACAGCACTAGTCCCTCTCTCAGTATATATTATGGTTAAAAATAATTTTTTTTTCTACACAACATTCACACTGTATATTATTCATAGAGTTTACTTTTTGGATATACTAATTGAAGAAAAATGATGGGTAAAACAACACCATGTTAATGTAAGGCAGACTTGGTTTAGTTTATGTTTCTTTATAAACTTTTTTTCTTCCAGTTTCTATACAGCTTTGATTACATTTTTTTTCTACACACATTTTTTTATTAAAACTTTTTTTGTTGTTGACTCTGTTGTTTTGTTTAACTGCTGTGTATACTTTTGTTGAACAATTGTGAATGTTGGTGGGAATCTGGCATTGAGAGAAGGAAAAGTTGTTTGATTGGGGAAAACGAGGCTCTTGATAAAACAATGGGTAGGCTTAAAGATACACACAGACGTGTATGTATACAACATTTATGACAAGAATAGGTATGAGGGAAGTGATTTGAGTAGAGGCTAAAAAAATACACTGTGCTCCACCATACACCCCTCCACTGTGCTCCACCTCCACTATCCACCGTTCCGCCCCTGTGGAGTTGTGAGGGATGACGTCATGTAACACTTATAAAACGGAAATACTTTAATATAAAAAAATATAATTAGCTTGTCATTATCCAATGAACGGACAAAATATTTTTTTGACGTAGAACAGACTGGTCATGATGGATGCTAATGAAGACGAATGGGCGGATAACTCCGACCCCCCCCCCCCCAGTGATCTGTTTGTTGAATTAACCCTCTAACGACGGGGTCGACCTGTTGATGACGTTTGATTGGTTTTAATTAGGACAAAAATATATTATGGCGCAATAGTTTGTACATGACCTCTTGATTGTCCAAATATAGGCCATCATATTTTTTTTAAACTGACGAGCATATTACGACATATTGACAAAAATAAAACTAAAGCCGCATTATATCATCATCAAAATATCACATTTGTACACCCCCCCCCCCCACGATTAATATTCACCCCTTACAAACAACAGGATTTTACCCACCCACACCCACCAGTGACCACCACAGCTAATGCTACGATGACTCTCAATAGGAGAGTTCTCTATACTTACACACGATTAACAGTTGGATATTATAACTAGCATACTAGCACTTTACCAACAGTCTGACTAATTTATGCACAATCTTCACATCTCATTAGCATACGTATGATTCAAGCTTTAGCTGTTATTTATCTGAACATTTTATTTCCTCCGCTATAGTAGAACTACACCAACATCTATAAAGCTGAAAATAAAAACAGCTCAAATGTTTTTGTAACATTACATACAGGATGCAAACGATTAGGAATTATCGTAAACCGTAATAACTTGGTTTTTGCTGAGAAACAGAAGGAACATCTTATCTGATAGAAAAACTTGTTGACAGATCGAACATTTCTTATACGTTACACTCAACCCAATGTTAACTTGAGCACCACCCCACCCCACACCACCAGCAACCCCCCACTAGTTACCCACAACCCACCATCAGCCTCGAACCACCTCCCATCCCCACCATCCACACACCACCAGCCACATACCAACAGCCACCCCCCTACAAATATCCTAAAAACATCTCTCTACCATGTTTAAAAAAAAACCCGCCAGTTATAAAAAACATCTCTCTACCACGTAAAAAAAACCCATCTCTCTACCATGTAAAAAAAAAACATCTCTCTACGATGTAAAAATAAAACATCTCTCTACCATGTTTATAAAAAACCGCCAGTTATTAAAAAAAAAAATCTCTCTACCATGTAAAAAAAACATCTCTCTACGATGTAAAAATAAAACATCTCTCTACCATGTTTATAAAAAACCGCCAGTTATAAAAAAAAACATCTCTCTACCATGTAAAAAACATCTCTCTACCATGTAAAAAAAACATCTCTCTACCATGTAAAAAAAAACATCTCTCTACCATGTAAAAAAAACATCTCTCTACCATGTAAAAAAAACATCTCTCTACCATGTAAAAAAAAACATCTCTCTACCATGTAAAAAAAACATCTCTCTACCATGTAAAAAACATCTCTCTACCATGTAAAAAAAAACATCTCTCTACCATGTAAAAAAAAAACATCTCTCTACCATGAAAAAAAAAACAACATCTCTCTATCATGTAAAAAAACATCTCTCTACCATGTAAAAAAAACATCTCTCTACCATGTAAAAAAAACCTCTCTACCATGAAAAAAAAACATCTCTCTACCATGTAAAAAAAACATCTCTCTACCAAGTAAAAATAAAACATATCTCTACAATGTTTATAAAAAACCGCCAGTTATAAAAAAAAAATCTCTCTACCATGTAAAAAAATAAATCTCTCTACCATGTAAAAAAAACATCTCTCTACCATGTAAAAAAACATCTCTCTACCATTTAAAAAAAAACAAACCCGCCAGTTATAACAAAATCTCGAGTAGTTTGGCTCCCATTAATATCATAGAAAGAGATACCTCAGACGGGCAAAGTGTCCGTTACTTGGCAAAAATGAAAACTGACTTGCTAAGAATCTGGCTGTCATTATCTCCACTTCCTGTTATGGGTTAAAATGGTGTCAAGACTGTCTTTGATTATATCCTTGATTCTTGATAGGGAAGGGATGTAGATCTATACCTAAGTGTAGAAAAACTAAATTTAAAATGGCCGTAAAATAATAAACTAACTGTTTGATGGTATTTCCGTGAAACAAGTAAACAGCACTCAAAACATTTTGGACCATTAAAACTATATGTCGTATCAGAAAAATGAATATTTTCCCATTATAATAATATTAAAGATGAAAAGGTTCGATCCAAGTTGGTACGGACTGTTATGATCTTGTCTGACGTCAAACTCCAATGGGGGAATATCGTTTTTTTTTCTTCCTTTTATGATCAGCTCGGGCAATTTTCGCTTTGCCCAAATGGTGGAAATAGTGGGCAATTTTCTCGCCGCCAAATAGGAGTCATTTGCCTGCTGATGAATGTTTCCTTTCCCATTTGAATAACTCCGAGCGACGTAGTAGCTTGCTGGTTTTTATATTCCCACCCAGCGGCGGAATTCTGAGGCTGGTTAGGTGGGGTTCCAGTACCGGGGTTGGTCTGTATGGGTGGGGTCCGACTCTGGGTGATTGAAATTATAAGTACCAACGTCGGCACCCAGCTCAAATAATCAATTCGGTGTTCAATATGAAGCTCGCGAGCTGCTTCAGAGTTTTTAAATCATAAAATCTGCTGGGCCCAGCGCTACTCTCGTATAAAAAAATGTTAATAAAAATCTTGATTGCCACAAGATGAAATGACGTAGTACACACTTTTGGGTGAAGGGTGGGGAAATAGAAAGATGGTAGAGTGATGTAAACAGGGAAAACACGATGGCATTATGCTGGGAGAAAGCTATGTGTGTGTGTTGTAAGGAAAGTAATGGGGGTGGGGGGTTGGAGGGGGTAGTTGGATATGGACATTTTCATCTCAACGTTTTGAGTTCTGACTAGATGGGTCACATAAACTGCTGGTGTGTTGTGATGGGGTACAGTTGGTTCTTGTTGTTATACTTTAGTGCCTTTCTGGGTACTATAAATCATTGTTATACTTTAGTGCCTTTCTGGGTACTATAAATCATTGTTATACTTTAGTGCAGGGGTCTCCAAACTTTTCAGTCCGAGGGCCGCATTAACTATCAAATTTCAGTTCGGGGGCCAGTTTCTTCCTGGCATGTCTTTAATTTTTCTGGTCAAAGTTCCTCAGCCATCACCAACAAGCCAATAAACGCTTTTTTTCCGTGGACAAAAATATCTACGAGGGCCGGATGAGAGGACCTCGCGGGCCGCATCTGGCCCGCGGGCCGTAGTTTGGAGACCCCTGCTTTAGTGCCTTTCTGGGTACTATAAATCATTGTTATACTTAAGTGCCTTCCTTACATTAGATTATCACTTTTATACTTTAGTGCCTTATCATTGTTATACTTTAGTGCCTTTCTTGGGTACAATAAATTATCATTGTTAAGATACCGTAGTGCTGTCAATGAGATGCACCCTCTTTTGTTTATTTGCTCAGACAGCCTTTTCAGTTGTATGGGTCCAGTACAGCAGGCATTGAAGTCAATTACCGAACAAAGTACATTCCTCAACACAGCGTGATGTAATAAGGAGATACACGCAATGTGGTGTTTTTTTTTTTTTTTTGTACAGCCACCTATAATTGGATATAGGAATCACAGAAAAAAAAACCGTTATGGGAAGATATCTGGGAAATGGTAAAATTTAAAACAAAGATGGTTAATAAATGTCTTATTTCAACTTAGATTTTTACAAATTGATAAGGCTCGGGTCAATATACAATGTCACAAAGCCCCATCTCTAACAGGCTCTGGTATCTTGACAGACATTATCCCAGGGCCCCATCTCTAGCGGGCTCTGGTATCTTGACAGACATTATCCCAGAGCCCCATCTCTAGCGGGCTCTGGTATCTTGACAGACATTATCCCAGAGCCCTATCTCTAACAGGCTCTGGTATCTTGACAGACATTATCCCAGGGCCCCATCTCTAACAGGCTCTGGTATCTTGACAGACATTATCCCAGAGCCCCATCTCTAGCGGGCTCTGATATCTTGACAGACATTATCCCAGGGCCCCATCTCTAGCGGGCTCTGGTATCTTGACAGACATTATCCCAGAGCCCTATCTCTAGCGGGCTCTGATATCTTGACAGACATTATCCCAGAGCCCCATCTCTAGCGGGCTCTGGTATCTTGACAGACATTATCCCAGAGCCCTATCTCTAACAGGCTCTGGTATCTTGACAGACATTATCCCAGGGCCCCATCTCTAACAGGCTCTGGTATCTTGACAGACATTATCCCAGAGCCCCATCTCTAGCGGGCTCTGATATCTTGACAGACATTATCCCAGAGCCCCATCTCTAGCGGGCTCTGATATCTTGACAGACATTATCCCAGAGCCCTATCTCTAGAGGGCTCTGATATCTTGACATGCATTATCCCAGGGCCCCATCTCTAACAGGCTCTGGTATCTTGACAGACATTATCCCAGAGCCCCATCTCTAGCGGGCTCTGGTATCTTGACAGACATTATCCCAGAGCCCCATTTTTAGCAGGCTCCGAGCGAGCCCCAAATCCCGCCGAATGTCGCGATATGTCTCGACAAATACTGGAACTCTTCTGCTCCAGTTCAACCCAGGTCAGCTGATGCCCGGGGGAGGTCGTGACGTGATAGCCGGTCACCATCAGACACTTCTGGCAA